TTTGCAATAATTATAATAATATAAATATTTTTATTTTAATGACTCACTCCTCATCTTTTTATTGAATTTAATTTGAAAAAAATAATATCTTATTTAGTTGCAAAATAATTTTTAGGCTTGTAATAATTTTAATAACAATTTTTGTTTTAAATTAAAAAAAATAATAAAAAATAATAAAATTTTATTGAACAATAATTTTGTGAATAAAAATAATAAATTTATTTAATTTTTTTATTTAAATAAAAAGTATTTCACTTAATAAAAAAAAATAAGTGAATAAATAAAAAATTAAAATTAAATAAACAAATTATATTGTTAGGTTTTCTGAAATTTGTAGAAATGAAATCCATAATTCTTGATTGATTTACTATTCTCCTTAAGATTTTAGTGGAATGATTTTTAAAATCAAACAATTTTTGATATTGTTTAAATAATAATTAAAAAAAAAAAAATTCAAATTTATGTAAAGCTAAATACCTTTCTAAAATCTAATGAAGTGGTATTTTTTTATAAAGGCTTTTATTTTTTAATAATTTTTTATAGCATGAAAATAAATATTTATCATAAATAGATTTTGAATTATAATATCATTAATTAATTAATTTTAATTTGCTTGCTTTTTTTTATGTTTTTTCTTTGTTTATATAGCTCATCATTTTATTTTCAACTTTTGCTTTTATTATTAATTAATTAATTAATCAATCTTATTATTTCATATTTTTTTCTTCATTTTTTCCTTCTAATTAACTATTTAATGATACATTTTTTCTTCAATATTTAAAAAGTTACAATATAATTGGTGATGACGGTGCATCAGGCTTAGGTTTTGGTTTAGCAAATTGCATTAATCTCTCAAATTTAACACTTAATCTTCTGTAAAAATAGTTATTTGCTTTTGATTGGGATATTTTTAATTATAGAAACTAATTAAAAAAAAATAAAGCTCTTTTTTCTTTTTCTTTTAATTGTACTTACTTTTTTTTGTTCTTTCTATGTTAATTTAAAAACTCTTCTTTTTATTTTCAACTTTTGCTTTTATTATTAATTAATAAATCTTATTTATTATTTCATATTTTTTCTTCATTTATTCCTTCTAATTAACTATTTAATGATATATTTTTTCTTCAATATTTAAAAAGTTCCAATAAAATTGGTGACAAAGGTGCATCAGGCTTAGGTTCTGGTTTAGCAAATTGCATTAATCTTTCAAATTTGACACTCCATCTTGGGTAAAAACAGTTTATTAGTTTTGGATTGTGATATTTTAAATTATAAAAACTAATTAAAAACAATAAAACTCTTTGAATTTATTTAATAGCTTTTGTTTGATTTATTTTTTATCTTTTTTATTGCACTAATATTATTTTATTTATTAATTTAAAGAATAATTTTCAATTTAAAAGTTTATTCTATTTTGATATTTATTTAAAATTTACACAAATTTATTATAAAAGTTTTAGCAGAATAAATAAATTATAAAAATTCAAAGTATTAAAGAAGTGTCTTAAATCAAAAAGATTAGTTGTCTTTAATTTCAAATGATAAAAAGCTGGTGAAAAAAGGATGAATAGATATAAAATGTTTGAATAACATTATATATTTTATTATTTAATATTTTGAAAAAGTGTTTTTAACCTAAAATATAAATAGATAGATATATAGATTTTATTATTTATTTTTTTTTTATAAATATCATTCATATTTTTGTAAGTAAATAAATTATTTATAAATAATAAAAAAATTTAAAAATTAAATTTACTTAAATAAATTAAATCCTCTTAGCAGATTCACGGTTTCTCCAAAAACGATAAAATAATTTGAAACTTTTAGTGTTATATTTTATATTATTAAATTATATAAATGCTAAGCTTTTATATGTCAGTTATATTTTAATCTTAAATATTATTCATCAATCTTATTTCTATCCTTTTTTTATTTATCATGATTAATTAATTAATTAGAAAATTTTACTTTTTATTTTAATTTTTGTGGTTATAATTTTTTTGTTTGTTTTTTTTTCTCATTTTTAATTTATATTATTTATGATCATTTTTTTCATTTTTTATTTTTTAAAATCATAAAATAATTGTTTTTTAAATTATCATTTATTCATTCAGACAATACAAATTTGATTTTTTTATTTAATGTGTAAAGATGACATAGAAACAGTTAATTAGTTATGGAAATTTGTACTCTGGAGTTTGGGGGGGGGGGGGAAGGTTGGTGAGGATTAATGAGGATTGATGGTATATAAAATTTGATAATAACATTGATTAAAAATCAAAAATTATTGCTTGCTGTAATAAGAAATAGTTTTTAGAGTTACAGTAAAAGAATTCCTTGATGTAATATAAAATAAGAGTGATTCAATTAGTTAGTATTTGAAGAGCCCTATAATATGTATATTTTATTTATTTTGTTTGATTGTATGTATTAAATTCCTAATAGCTAAATTAATTTTACACCCTATTTTAAAAACTTAACACAAATTACATAAAAATATATAAAATAAATACTATTATATAAATCTCTATTGCAAAAAAAAAATCTGCAATTAGTAATACAAAAAACAATCAATTACTATTTTTAATATTTTTTTTGTTTTTTTATTTAAACCAAAGAAAGAACACCTATATATCTACCTCACTCTATCCTCAAAAACTCCTTATCTTTCTTTTACGATTCATTTATGAAAAAATAATAAAAATAAATAGATTTAAGATTAAATATTTATCAAATATATCCATGTAGAATAGGTTTAATCAATTTAAAAAAATTTGAACCTTTAGTCAATTAAAATATAAAATATTTAATTTAGAAAATAAAGAATGAATAATCATGACTTAAATTAATTAAATATTCTTTTTCTAACAAATTTTTTATAGTAATATAATTAATTCATTTTAATTTATATTTAAATGTTTAAATATTATTAAAGTTAAACCAATTTTAATTTAATCAAAAAACATTTTCTTAGATTTAATTATTATTTATATATGTATGTAATTTGATATAGATAAAATACTTTGTTTAGAATCTTGTGTAAAAAAAAACACTTTAAAATGTAATTCGAAAATAGAATTAAAAAATTAAAAGCTATTTATTGTAAAACTAAAAAAAATAAAAATAAAAATTTTAATAAGAATTTCAAATATGCAAATTATAATAAAATAAAAGAAAAGACACTATTTTAATATAAAGTAATTCACAAATTGAACGATTTTGATATAATTAATTAATTTATTAATATTGAAATATTATAAAAAATGAGATAGGTATTTTTTAAGTGAATAAATATTTCTAGAAAAGCTTACATATTTATGAGTTATTTTATATGAAAATAGCCTAATAGAAAGCAAGTAAGAAAGAAAGAAAGAAAGAATGAAAGTTAGATTCATCGATTGATAGATAAATTAGTTCTATTATTTTTTCAAACAATTTATTGGTTTATTAGTGGATGGTGGGAAGTGGATTTTTTTAATTTTCTGATCTACTTAGATTACATCAATAAATATTTAAAAACCCCTTAAATATTTTCATCTAAAAACATTAAGATTTAATCAGATCAAATTAGATAAATATCACTTTCTTATTTTATTTATTTATTGAATTATTAATTTTCTAGGATGGATTTATTTTTTTTATGAAAATATATGTTTGTGATATTTTTAAATTTTATGGATAATCTAAATATTTTTGGGTATTTTATTGTTTGATTTGATTGATATATTGATTGAGCGAGCAAGCGAGAGCTTTAAAATATAAATAAAAATTGAAAAATTGTTAGTTGGCTTTTATTTAAATCTTTTAAATCAATCTTGAGATATAAAAATGAATGTACTATTTTCAAACGTTGCTTTAATTCTTGCTGATGATTTCATTAAGGATTTGTTGTTTGCACTATTAAATTAAAGTTTGAATATTTTCAACTTGTGAATTTAAATACATTATTTTTTATATTTTTTCATTATCGCTCATGCTCATGTAAGCTCTTCTTTCATCATTTTAGTTGTAGAGAGGTCTTGTTTGTTTGTTGGCATAATCTTCATCCATTTCCTCTTCCATTGAAAAGTGAGATACTGGATTTTAATTTTGGAAAGCCTAGTCAGGATTTATATTTGCAAATCTTTTTGGGTCATATTTTTTTTAAGCTTTGGCAAAAATTAAGGGCGAAGGTTCTTCTTAATAGTGATTTTTTTCGTTTAGAGATCTGAGAATTCTATTCGGACAGAAATTTTGCATCATATTTTCTGATTTTTAATTATTATTATTGTTATGGGCTTACTAATTTTATTAGTTTAAATTTTCTTCGTCTTAGAATGCAGGATTTGAGTTGAAAATTGGATGGCTTTCTTTACCTGCTCTATAAAATTTCTAGTTGAAATCTTCAGCATCTATTACCTCAAAGTCTTGTAAGCTACTTTTCTAGTTGTACAAATATGATTTGCTGAAGTTCGTCTAATTAGCGTCAAGATTAGCGAGCGATCCTTCGAATCCATTGATAAATTTAAAACTGGGTATTTTATTGTTTAAATAATCAAAATTTAAATTATTAGAACTAAAAGGAAACTAACAAAGCTAATTGTAACTTTAAACAAGAAGAGAATCTTATGGATTTGACTAAAAGTTATTATGGTAGTTTTAATTATCCATAAAATTACCATCATAAAGAGCCGAGTTGAAGTTCTTATCGAAATTGTTAAGAGTTAGAGCATTGAGCGACTCAAAAAGTGTAGAATTAAAAAATGGTTGAGCATTTTATTAAATAGATTATTACAAATTATTATATTAATCATTATGATTCTCAATCAATTTTTAATCTTATTATTCAATTTAAATATTATCAATTTTGTTGTTGTTATTTTCTTCATGATTATTCAATCCTTATCTTCCATTAATATTTTTTCCTCCATTTTAAACTTGAATACTATTTTTTAGGTTAAGTTGTTATTCCTGAAATGATTCTGGGTTATTTTGTTCATTTACTCCTTCTATTAAATTAATTTGATCAAATGCATATTCTTCCTATTGCTAATTATTTGCAGCTAAAGTTGGTGTAACTTCTCCTGGTTTTAAAATTTTCCTTATGTACGAATAATACCTATTTCTTATTCTTGTTTCATTTTTTCCATCCATCAATTCAGAAATTACTTTCCATTTTTTGCCATGGATTTAAATCAGCTTTATGAGAGCTTCATCTTCTTCTGCAGTAAATCTCACTTTTTTGGATTAATTTTCATTATTTTGTCCAATTGATTGCTATTGATTTAAATTTTTGTTATCCAAAAGATTTGCCTCGTTATTACCTCTTTTCAAATGATTGCTGATGTTATTACTATTTTTATCAACGCTTATTTATCCTTCTTCATTAATATCATTTTCACTTGTTTCGCTATTATTCATAATATTATTATTATTACCATTATTGTTATTGTTATTACTATTGGCGGTATTTTCTTCTAGCTTGTTTAATTAATGGTTTATGATGTCTGAATTGTTGAAGTTAAGCATTTCTTTTTAAATTTGTTGATATTAAATTCTCTCTTTTTTCTATGAAGCAGTTGAAAAGATTGAAGTGTTTATTGTGTTTGATTTTTTTCTATTTACAATCTTTTAAAAGCTAGATTGTAAGCTACCTGACTAAGGAGAACCGTTGCTCACCTTGCTAATTGCTTTCTTTTGTTTTTTGGCTGGTTGTGAATTAGACAAACTGGAAGTTTCGTCTTCCATAGAATCCTATCCACTTAAATTATTTTTGTTAGTATTTTTTTCTGTAAATTAATTTGTTGAATTTATCTCAAAGGAATTTTAGGTTATGTTTTCTTAAAATCCTCTCCATTATTATGACAATATCTCATTATTCATAGTTGATACGTTATAATTATGCATCTATTAATTGCCTAAAGATTTATTTTTTTGATTGAACACTTGCAGATTCTGTGAATCAGACCTTGGTCTCTCCTAAAATGTGACAAATGTTTGACAAATGCTATTTTCAATAGATGACTAATGCTCTCTTTCAACAAAAGGGATTTGAGTTGAATCACTATTTTGCGCTGACATTGATTACATAAATTTACTATTTTAAATAGGAAGATTGCAACTTGCTGAGAATCTTTCTTAATTGTAGTCTCTCTAAGAAATTTGTTAGGATTTATGATTTTGGAGCTGAATATTATTTTGTTTGACAATAGCAGCTTCTTCATCATCATCTTAACCTTCAATCGAGTTCTTGTTTGCTACTTCTTCTTCTATATTAAAGTTGCCCTCTAACTGCATATTATTGTTTGAATCTTTCTCAAGAACCTGATGAAGATAATGATTTGACTCCTACTAAATTGTTTGATTGGAATTCATCTATCGTTTTTTGCTTCTGTTATTTTATGTTGTAGAAAAGATATCCTTGTAATACTGATAATTTATTAATTATAATTTCAATATCTATCTTTCGTATTGATAAACCTTTAATACCAGATTATTTATGTATGTTTAGGGAACACAACATCAATTAATTAATGAATGAATTTAAAATCAAGCAAGCAAATAAAGAAACAAACAAACAAAAAATCAAACTAGCAATCTAAAAAATAAAATTATAGCTAAGATACAAACAAGGTCTCAATTAAATCAACAGAAGATCTTTTGTTTTTTATTTAATTTATATTTTTAATGATTTTTGATCATCTTTTACTCTTCCCTCTCCTTTTATTAAATTAATTTGCTTGATTATTAAAAATAAGTCAGTCAACGATACATAAATAAATACATATTATTGATTTCATCATACCTTTTTTCTCTGTCTTTACTATTGTAATTACTTCGATTTTATTTATTATCTCTCTCCCTATTTTAGAAATTATTAAATTACAAAATTTTCGTATTTTCATGCTGATTTCAAGCTAACAAGCATTTTTTAATTAAATACTTTCACTTATTTTGTGTTAGGAGCTATTTATTTAGTTATTAAAATATCTTATTTTAGTAATCCTTATCTTAAATTTAAAACTAAATTGCATATGAAATTCACTGGTTCGTTTGTTCGAATAGTATTCTTTGGATTTAAATCAACATATCTTATCATACTCATTATGGTTTTAATAAAATAAATCTTGAAAAAATTTAAAAACTCGCCTTTTCAAATATTACATTTGAAATAAAAAAAAGATAGATTCAATTAACTTTTTCCAAACAAAAAAATAAAAGAAATAAAAATTTATTGCCACAAAAAATGAATGAATAACTAACTAACTAATTTTGATATTTTTGCAAAGGAATTACTAAAACATAATTTTTACACAACTATTTATAATTAAATTGTTTACATTATTGAGTGCAACCAAAACACAAAATTTTTTGATTTTTTTATCTAACTGATGCATTTTTTGAATAAGTAGAAAATATATTTATGAATATCCTAATTACATAAGCTCTATAATTTATACTTTAAAGTTTCCATTAATTTCATCCTAACTCTTTCTGGTGTGATTTCTTTATTAATATATAAATACGCATTTTTAGTCAATAATAAGAAGCAAATTCGAACCTATAGAGTTAAATCAAAACTAAATTTAAATAACTAATTTTTAATCAGACTAATTAGCAAAGTTTTTACCATTTTTACTATCTGATTGGTTTAGATATATTCATTTATTATCGAAAAAATTAAATCCTTAAAATTAATATATAGAAGTATTATTATGTTTATATTGCTTAATATTTTTAAATTTTGAGATCAGAAAGAAGAAAGAAATATTTAAAATAGACCACCTATTTGATATTTCGAAAAAATCTATTAATTATTATTCATAATATAATCCTTAACCAGTAATTAATTTTTTTTACACTATTTAAATATTTCTTTCCTTTTTTCAACTTGAAAAGAAATCAAATCATTTGTTTAGTTATAATTCATAACTTTACAAATATTTTAAACGAATTATCTTAATAAATAAATAAATAATTATTTATTTCTAATTTTTTATAATTATTAAATTAAATTAATAAAATAAATAACACTAACTAGATTTTTACTTACTTTTTAATTTTATAAACAATTATTTTACTTATTAATATTCTAAATTGAATTTTAGTATTAAATTTTATTAGCATATAGTTTATTTCAAATACATTATGGTTTCTCTATTTTTATCACCTTTTAATTGATTCATAAATAAATAAATAAATAAATAATTTTTATTTTAAAAATAAAATTAATTTTTAATATTGTAAATAGCAAAATTAAAAGCTTTAAGGCATAATATTTTACATGAATATTTAATAAAATAGAATTTGTTATTGTAAGTAAATCTTAAAACTGTATTTAATTAAAATAGTCTTTATGTTGATTTTAAACTATACAAAACAAATTTATTTAGAATGTCCTATTTTATTAATTAAATTAATGAAGGTTAGTGCAATGATAATTCTTTAGTTCAGTAAAAATAATTTATATTTATCAAATATGTATTTGAATTGAAAGATAATAATATTTTGTGATAGGAAAATTCAAAAAAACAAGTATTTGATATACTATTTAAAAAGATTTATGCAAATTATATATCTAAAATTTAAATTCTTTTTAATAGCATCAGGTTTATACCTTCCAGACACATAAAAATAGCTAAATTTAATCAAAAAGCGATTATTTTATAAATAAGTATTTAAGAACACAAAAAATGGCTGAGAAAAAAATTGCATTTAGTGTGCTTATTATAGGTTTAGACGGTAGTGGTAAAACTACTATGATAAGATAGCATGCAAACTTAAAATCTGAAGTTTTTCCTACAGCGGGTTTTGAAATTTAATATTTAAATTGTTCCGGCATAAATGCTCCAGTTTTAGTTTACGATTGCTCTGGAATAGGCAGAGCTAGAGATAATTGGAGGACATTTTACGATGCTTGTGATGGTATCATCTTCGTAATTGATTCTACTGATACTTAGAGGCTATCAGTTTTAAAAAAAGTAATCAAAGATCTATTAACAGATCGTTCAATAAAAGATAAGAAGCCAATTCTATTCGCATTCAATAAGTAGGATGAGGAAGACATTATGGAAAAAGAAGATTTCGTTTAAGAATTAGAAATTAACAATTTTAAAAGAACTTAAAAAAATCCCATTTCTACTAAAGGCATAACAGGTAAAACAGGCGATGGAGTCTTGGATTGCTTTTAATGGATAAGAGATAATAAAGGATCAAAGCATTCTTGATTAATTTAAACTAAAAACAATAAAACTAAATAATTGAATGGGTGAATGAATTAATAAATAATATACAAATATAAAGATTATTAACTAATATTGCAAATCAATTTTTAAAAAATATTTTTAAATTTTAGAAATAATTAGATTCATAATATGAAATAATAAAATAAAATAATATAATTTTCTTGTTTTGATATTTTTATTGTATTAATAAAGTAATACCAAGACATTATTTTAGATATTTTGTAGCCAATTAATGAATTATTATAATAAGTAAGTAAGTTAATAAAAAAAATTATATAAAGAATTCGAATTAATTATATAACAAAAAATTTATTAATATAAAATGAATAAGCTTGTGTAAAATTGAATTTTTATTAAATTCATTTATTTCCTTTGAAATTCTATTTTTGATTATTAATTAATTAAAAACTAAACTGAATAAAAAGCATTCAAAAAGTACAAATAAAAAAGAACGTTTTGAGCTTATAGAAAAAAGTTTAATAAAGTTAGATTCTAGCATTTATTATTTATTGATTTTAGTAAATTCAAGAGCTAAAGAAATTTTAAAGAGCAACTACAAAAGGTTTTACTTAAAATATAAGTATAATTAATACCCAGTAATTTCAAAAAGTATAAAAAAATTTTATTTGTTTTATCTATAAAAAGTTAAAGTAAATTCTAGTGTAAAAAATAACTTAAGTAAATACTTACTATTGCTTATTAGGAACCTATTGATTATTGTTAAAAAACTATTAAAAAATTATCTTAGAAGATAGATAATACATTTAAAGGAATTCTATTTAACTTTATAATTACTCTCAAAGTTTTTATTATTTTTTAGAAATTAATTTTGTCAGTAGTGTGGGATTGCACAAAAAACTCTTCCTTTGAAAAAACTCAAAATTTTTTTTTATCTTTTAAGAAAAAAAGATAAGAATAAAAAATATTTTTTTTAAAAATCCTGGTAAAAAAGCTAAAATAAATAGTATAGAATCTGGATAAAATAAAATCTAATCAACTTTTGACATTATATCTAATTACAAAGATGGAAAAATAAATTTTCATTTTAAGTTTATAAAAAAGAATAAAATTTAGATATCTATAAATTTAAATGAACTAAGAGATTAAAGTTTTAGTAAATTAGTTTATTTGAATTAAATAATTTCGAGTAATATGATATTATTTATTAAATTTACATGTAATATTTATATAGTGGGATTCAAAGATATTTATTTGATTTTAAAATAGTTAAAACGTAAAAAATAAAAAGTATATTTTGAAAATTTATTATCAATTAACACATATCTAATAATAGATTACATTATAAAAATTTTGTTATCTGTTTATAATAATAAATAATTTAATTATCTGTATTCCTCATGTCATAAATTATTGTATATGAACTCCAAGTTATTTAGTAATTTATGAAATGGTTTATTTCTTTAGACAACTTTCTAGTACAAATATTCGAAATATATTGTATTTTAATCAAGAGAGGTTTTTTTTTGTATATATATTATAAGGCAACCAATTTTAAGGGAATTAGTTTTACTAATGCTGATGAATTTTTTTACCTACTGAATATAAAATTATCAAGCTTTACTATTACAAAATTTTAAGCAATTTAATTACCAGAAATTTAAAATCTAAATTGACTGTGCCATAAATTATAACAAGCTGTACTATTTCTATGTAAAAAAAATCCCTTCATAAATTTATTGGATTAAAAGGAAAAAGAAAAATAAGACAGAATTTAAATTTTGGTTTTATTTATTAAGTAGTTACAAGATTAGCAAAAAAAAATTATAAAAGAAAGAATGAAATAATAGAAATATAAAAAATATAAAGATATAAATAAGCTGGCCGAAATAACAAATTAAGTAGGATTAAAAAGTTAATAAATGAATTTGAGTAATTTTGAAGACTATTATGGTTAATACGATTAATAAATCATGAAGAAAATTTGTCAAGTAAATAAAATAGAAGATTAGACTAAATGATAAAAATAGTCGTAATTATAATTTAGTCTTTTAATCTATATTATTGATTAAATTTAAAAAGGATTAAATGCTATTTATCTAAAGATTGCTTCGCTTATAATCATTTAATATCTAAAACATAATTTGCAATTAAAAATTATACAAACAAAATCACACAATATCATAAAAAATTCAATATAAGTCATAGAATTTTTAATAACTTAAGTCTACCTTTTCAAAATTATAAATTAAATTAGATTAAGTAGTTTATAAAATATTTAAGAACAAAAGAATCCTTATCTACATTCATTATTATAAGCGTACAAGCAATGCCTATTTATTTATTTGTCCTCCTATACTGCATACTCAAATCTGTCTATGTTATGCAAAAAAAACATCGTTTATCTTCTTATCTATGGAGTTCGATGATATCAAAGTTCTAGTTTCACTAACTAAGGTTCAGCAAAAAGAACCAAAGAAAGCAACATAATTTATCTGACGCTGAGCTTGGTTTCGGCAATTCAAATGGCAATATTACTGAAAAGAAGGAAATGGAAATTTCAAAATGTTAAATCCACAGTGAGTCAGCTGATAAGCTCATCTCATTTACTTCTTTGAATTCTCTAGACGAAGAGTAAGATTAAAGCTCTCAAAAATACTTTTAGTGGGAGACATTCTTTTAATATTTCAAGCTTGAATTCTGTGGAAAGTCAAACCGCTCATTGTATACTCTCAGAAACATCTCTCCTAAGTCACGCACTTTCATAATATTAGGAATTGTTTTATATAATGTAATCTCTACTTTTACCTATCTCGCTACTCGCTTAACTTCTCGCGATTCTTTTAATCTTGTATATCTCTAAATCTTCTTTTTTGAGGCTATCTTCGCCTTAAGCTTCCCTAACTTCATAACAATAGTTACATGTCTCAAAGAGTTTTCATTTATTTCTTACTTGACTCGCCAAGTTGGTTTATACTTAATTCATATTACTATGATTGTATTTTAGCTAAAGACTCTAGAAATATTATTCTTCATTTACTACATCTTAGTAGTTGTTTTATATTATGATCCTTGTTCTATGACTCCTTACTTCTAAACTGAGAACCAACACTAAAACACTCTCGAAATGTATCATTTGACATTCTTAGGAAAAATACATGGAAGATTTATGTTCTTCTATGTTAGACGTGTTGATGAATCTAATTTTAGAGTTATCATTGCCTATGCCCTTAACAAATAGCTCTAAGTTTATAAGGAATCAAATTTTGGAAACAAAAATGTCCATAAACTCCACTTTGATAAAAAGCATAAACTACTCACCTTATGGACTAAAGCTCCTGACACTGGAATTGAAATTGCAATCTATCATGTCCCCTCTTTAAAGTAAATAAATTTTTAAAAACATAAATAATAAATAGCATTAGCTAATTTTATATTTTGGCATAAGATAGCTGCATTGAATCTTTATTAGAAATGTAAATAGTTAGAAAGAAATAAATAAATAGATGGATATTAAGATATTCAAATTACAATTTTATCAAAAATTATTTATGAAATCAAAAACAAACAAACAAACAAAAAAACAAAATAAATTAATGAGAGTTTCTTAGTTAGAGTTATTTATTAAAGATATTTATTATTTAATTTACACATACAAAATTTACACTTTTCAAGAAAGAAATTTATTAAAATATGTAAAGCAAATAAATAATCCAAAAAATTAATGGAAACAAAAAAATTTTTTGGATTATATCTAATAAAAAGCAGTAATACATATATTGTATTATGAAACCAATTAATTAAAATTTTAACTTGCTCAATTTTAGCAAATTTATAAATTTAATTCATGCAAAAACTCACTCACTTACTTCAAATTAATAAATTAATTCATTCTCAGTCATTAATTTTATGAAAAAAAAAATTAATGCTGCATTTTTCTCAGAGCCAATCAACCAATAAGCATTGCCAAAAAATAAATCTTTCATAATTTAGTTGTCATATTTTATTAAGTATTCTAAAATTTTTTTTATCAAATTAGATGTTTATAAGCCACAAGTTTATACAGATCTCCTGCCGCAAATGTATATGGCTATGAAAATTGCCCTTAAAAGTATTGTCTTATAAATAAATAAGGACATAACGTCCATCTCTTTGAAGGAAACGTTTACTTGACAGCAATTCCAATCCCTGGAAGACCTGGCGCTTATGACGATTTCTTTGTCTACGAAGCTAGTCATGGAAGCGAAATACTCCTTGGAAAAATTCAAAACACCAACGAAACTACCGATTATAGAGTATATCGTATTGTTAAGGAGAAAAAAATATGGATTGCTGAAGATAAAATTGAATTTGATGAAGTTATAACCAGCTAAATTTTAATTAGCAAGGAAAAATTAATTTTCATCTCCGCTTCATGGAATATTTATGTTTATGATCCTAACACTTTACAAAGAATTGATGTATTTTCAAACTAGTTACTTCCTAACTCTATTTACTGCCAAACTAAGTACCACGCAGATTAAGAACTATTTGAAGTAGAAATTAACAAAGAAGGAGCTAATTTCTTAATCCCAGATATCACTAGACCCAAAGTATTAGCAAGAATGGAAAAAAAGGAATTTAATTCTCTCTTTTTCTTGAACTATAAGCCTATTATTCTTTGCTTCTAAAAGTCAGGAAAGTTCTTCAAGAGAACAGTCAAGTATTCTATTTTTGACCTTCCCAAAAAAGAAGAACTCTACAATGAATTAACCCCTTCATAAACTGACCTTGAAAACTTCTATACTCAAGTCCCCGAAATTAGCGAATTGTAAAAGTGACCCTAAAATCTAAATAGAACCAAAGGGTTTACGAAAATATTACTTAAAATCATAGTTAAAGGCGTTTGCAAACTCAATAGTAATTATTAATTAATTAATCAACCATTCCCTCATAATAAATAAAGACTCAAACAATAAATAAAATTCTATTCTGAACTTAATTTAATTATTCTACTTATATATTTTAATGTCTACTCTCTTTTATATAATAAAATCTGTTTATACTTACTGATTCAATTAAAAAATTTTCAATCATAATTCATCATATTTAAACTTTGTTAAAATAATATTTATTTAATTTGCTTAAATATTTAAGAAATTTAAGCAATAAATGATTTCTGATAAAGCTAAAAAGAGTTACTTTTTGAAGAATATAAATATCTTCAGCCTTTATCAGATTTGATCTCTTAAATTATTAAAATATCTATAAATAGCTTTTATAAATTTTATTTTTAGATTTCTAACTTTCCATTCATTTTATATATTGTAAGGATATTATTTAAGTGTTAGTTAGCAAGGATATTATAATAAAATAAAAGTTTTTTAAATTTCAAAAAATAGTATAAAATGCATAATATTGATAGATAGATAGATAGATAGATAGATAGATAGATAGATAGATAGATAGATAGATAGATAGATAGATAGATAGATAGATAGATAGATAGAAAAGATATAATATTTAACCATGTCTATATTCAAATCACTGGCTTTATTTTTTAAATTTGAAAATTTTTATAATCTGCATTTTATATAATATGTTTAATAATACATGCTTTTAAACCTAAAATCTTGTCATAATAAAAATGAATAAAATAATGATAAATTAAAAAATAAATAGATTCTATTGTTTTAATTTCCTAAAGTATTTTTTTATTTTAGGAGGAAATTAATTTTCAAAATTATTCAATAATTTTTTAAAAAATGAATCCTATGATATTTTATTTTAAAAAAATATAATTTATTTTAATTTCTCAACCTCATAACAAAAAGCTATCATATTTAAATCATTAGTAAAATGTTACGTTCTTTTATTTATCTAACATATTTTATTATGATAATTTATATATTAATTTCATGATCATCATTTATATTATAACTTATTCATTATCCCTTAATAGATATATTAGTCTTACATAAATTATTTTTGCAAAAAGCCACTTTTTTCAACAAACATTTTTATTTTTATTTATTTTAAAAATAAAAAAATAAATTAAAATAATCTTTTAAAAGAAAAAAATTTAAACCAAAAATATTAAAGAAGTAATGGATATTAAAGAATAGCTGAAGTGCTAAAAACATCTTAATAACGACATTTTGTATGTCAAAGTTAATAACATACAAGATGATGATGATGTTTTTTATTGTGAATTGTGTCCTTTTAGCGAATCAAATTTTAGTATGTGTGACTGTACTCCCATCAAATCTATTTTAAATTGGAATGAGGATTCTCCCATTATTAATCTGTTTCCTTTTAATGATTAAGAATTAATTAAAAAGCTTAAAGATATTTTCCAGAAAAATATTTATGAATAATTACCAAATCAAATTGATTAATTTTATGATGATTTGTAAGCTAAAATTATGTAAATGGTAGCGGAATCTAAAAAAAGATCTATCACATTAGCTCAATAGTTATGTGAATAAAAACAAAAGGTTTTGCAATAATATAATCAAGCAGTAAATGTTGATGAAATTAAAAAAATTTTATAATCCTAAAACTCTAATTCAAATTAAATTTAACAGATTTACAAAGATTATATGAAAACTATTTTTTAAAATTCAGAAAGGAATACTTAAATTATAAATGCTCTAAATGAAGAGTAGTAAATAACCTACGGTGAGCTTAAGTTGGTTTAACAAAAAATAATTTCGAGCAGTTTGCTTTAAATAAAAAATGATAATGATTTTATCAAAAACTTTCCTCTCATACTCCCAAATTAAGTAGATTTAATGCCTTCATTATAATTTATAAAAGTAGACAAACAGATAAATATGATAAGTTAAAGTGATATTTTAAAAATGGTTAACAATCAAATTTAATTTAAAATGTTTAATTAATAGTCTTAAAATTAAGCAAATTATTTTTATGAATCAAATCTTGTTTTAAATTAATGTAAATTATACATTTTTAGATTTCAGGTTTCTAATGTTCATCCACTCTAAGCTCAAATCTTATTAAGTAATAAAACTAAAGCTTATGATATTGATCCAAGAGGATCGTTTGGAGAAAATCGTGTATTCTTGTTTGGAAATTAGCAAAGCAATTAATAAAGCTACTTAATAAATATTCATGTTAATGGAAATAATTAAATATAATTTAGAGATAATAGCAATTGCTCAAGTTTTTTTTCAAATAATTTTGATTAACACCTGGCTTATCTTATAAAAGGAAATTAAAATTAAAGTTTTAATATTGAAACAATATTTGAAATTAAAATATTAATAAGTAAAGGAATGTTTGAAGTTTCTGATTATCATAGCAAATAAATAATTGTAGGTTTAGATTAACATTATCAAAGTAAATTATAGGCCAGTTTAAACAAAGATTTTAGTTTATGTTTTAGAGGCAGTTTAAATTTAATTCATGCAACTGAATTAGAATAAGAAATTTGATTTTGAAAAATTTTAATTTTATTAATTAAACATATTTTTTTTTATTTCTTTAAAATGAAATGTATTTGCATTTTATTATTTAACTATTTATATAGTCAATTCATTTTGCATCTGAATTCTTCCAATTTTAATAAATTTGATTAATATATTTAATAATTATCAAAATTGTTAAACTCGTAGTACTTATGAGAAAAAAATTTAATTAATATTAAAAATTAATTGATAAAAATATGATGATTTTTTCAATTTTGTAAAATTTTTTTTTAAATAAAAAATGAGAATTAAAATATTCTTTTTAAAAGAAAAAAATTGAATATAAAATATTAAAGAAGTAATGGATATTTAAGGATAGTTGAAGTGCTAAAAACATCGCTATAACGACATTTTGTTTGTCAAAGTTAAAAATATAAAAGATGAAGAAGATGTTTTTTATTGTGAATTGTGCCCTTTTAGCGAATCAAATTTTAGTATGAGTGATTGTACTCCCATCAAATCTATTTTAAATTGGAATGAAGAATCTCCCATTATTAATCTGTTTCCTTTTAATGATTAAGAATTAATTTAAAGGCTTAAAGATATTTTCCAGAAAAATATTTATGAATAATTACCAAATCAAATTAATTAATTTTATGATGATTTGTAAGCTAAAATAATGTAAATGATAGTTGAATCTAAAAAAACATCTATCACATTAGCTCAATAACTATGTTAATAAAAATAAAAGGTTTTGCAATTATATAAGAAAGCAGTAAATGTTGATGAAATTAAAAAAATTTTATAATCATAAAATTCTAATTCAAATTAAATTTAAAAGATTTACAAAGATTATATCAAAACTATTTTTTAAAATTCAGAAAGGAATACTTAAACTATAAATGCTTTAAATGAAGAGTAGTAAATAATTTGCAGTGAGCTTAAGCTGGTTTAAAAATAAATAATTTCTAAGTGTTTGATTTCAATATAAAATGAAAGTGATTTTTTCAAAAGCTTTCCTCTCATAGTCCCAAATTAAATAGATTTAATGCCTGAACTAGAATTTAGAAAAGTAGACAAACAAACAAATATTATAACCTAATGCGATATTTTAAAAATGGTTAACAATTAAATTTAATTTAAAATGTTTGATCAAAATCCTCATTCTTTAAATTTTTATGAATCAAACATTGTTTTAAATTAATGTAAATTTTACATTTTTAGATTTCAGGTTTCTAATGTCTGTTAACAAAATACTCAAGTATTATTAAGTAACAAAAGTTAAGCAAATATGTTTCAAAGGGTTTTACCAAATAATTAACAAGCCTAAAATTAGTTTTTTTAGTAACAATTAATTTAAAAAAACAGAAACTTGTAAGGAGGCAGAGTCAATTAATAAATTAGTCCTTTTTATATAGGTGGCGGTTATTGTTAAGTAATTTAGAACAATTAAAACTTTTTCTTAATAAATGTTCATAATATTGGAAACAGCTAATTATAATTTAGCTAGAATGAACATTTTTAACCTATAAAAGGAGATTTAAATTAAAGTTTTAATATTAAAACAATATTTGAAATTAAAATCTAAATAAGTAAAGGAATTTTTGAAGTTTCTGATTATCCTAACAAATAATTCGTTTTAGCTTTAAACTAATATTATTAAAGTCAATTATAAGCCAGTTTAAACGAATAGCTTAGTTTATCTTTTAGTGGCAATTTAGTTCTAATTCATGCAATTGAATTTGAATAAGAATTTGATTTTAAAGATGTCAGACATCAGTATAATTATTTTTAAGATTATAAATTTGATTGAATAAAAAACTTTTAAGTTATACCTTGAAATTAAAATGTATTTATTTATTTGTATTTTATTATTGAAGTAATAAATTATTTTTGAATTTATTTTTTTCTCATTTAATAAATTTGATTAAAATATTTAATAATTTTTAAATTCATTATCTCTATTAGAAAAAATGAATTGATAATAATTTAAATAAAGTGGATCCTCCTTTTGAATAAACACTTAACTCCCCCCTAAACCTTTTTTTCAAAAATTTTTTGAAAAATAACTTTAATATAGGAATTACTTTAAATTAGGGAATTGATGGTAATTAGAATTGCAAATTTTCTTTCAAAAGAGATTTTATTTGAAAAAAATATTATTTATTTTAATTTCTCAACTTCATGATAAAAAGCTATCATATTTAAATCATTACTAAAATTTTATGTTCTTTCATTTATCTAACATATTTTATTATGATAATTTATATATATATATTTGATGATCATCATTTATTTTATTGCTTATTGATCCCTAATTAGATATATTAGTATTACAAAAATTTTTTTGCAAAAAGCAACTTTTTTCAACAAACATTTTTATTTTTTTTATTTTAAAAATAAAAAAGTAAATTACAATAATCTTTTAAAAGTAAAAAATTAAAACCAAAAATATTAAAGGAGTAATGGATATTTAAAAATAGCTGAAGTGCTAAAAACATCTTAATAATGACATTTTGTTTGTCAAAGTTAATAACATACAAGATGATGATGATGTTTTTTATTGTGAATTGTGTCCTTTTAGTGAATCAAATTTTAGTATGTGTGACTGTACTCCCATCAAATCTATTTTAAATTGGAATGAAGAATCTCCCATTTTTAATCTATTTCCTTTTAATGATTAAGAATTAATTAAAAAGCTTAAAGATATTTTCCAGAAAAATATTTATGAATAATTACCAAATCAAATTAATTAATTTTATGATGATTTGCAAGCTAAAATTACGTAAATGATAATTGAATCTAAAAAAACATCTATCACATTAGCTCAGTAGCTTTGTGAATAAAAATAAAAGGTTTTGCAGTAATATAAGCAAGCAGTAAATATTGATGAAATTAAAAAAATTTTATAATCCTAAAATTCTAATTCAAATTAAATTTAAAAGATTTACAAAGATTATATGAAGACTATTTTTTAAAATTCAGAAAGGAATACTTAAATTATAAATAGTTTAAATAAAGAGTAGTAAATAACTTACAGTGAGCTTAAATTGGTTTAACAAAAAATAATTTCAAGCAGTTTGCTTTAAATAAAAAATGATAATGATTTTATCAAAAACTTTCCTCTAATACTCCCAAATTAAGTAGATTTAATGCCTTCACTATAATTTATAAAAGTAGACAAACGGGCAAACATGTTAAGCGAAAGTGATATTTTATAAATGGTTAACAGTAAAATTTAATTTAAAATGTTTAATTAATAGCCTTAAACATAAGCAAATTATTTTTATGAATCAAATCTTGTTTTAAATTAATGCAAATTATACATTTTTAGATTTCAGGTTACTAATGAACATCCACTATAAGCTCAAGTCTTGTTAAGTAATAAAACTAAAGCTTATGATATTGATCAAAGAGGATCGTTTGAAAAAAATCGTGTATTCTCAATTAGAGATTAGCAAAGCAATTAAAAAAGCTACTTAATAAATATTCAGAATAATGGAAATAACTAAATATAATTTAAAGAAAATAGTAATTGCCCAGGTTATTTTTAAAATAATTTTGATTAAAATAACCAGGTTTATCATATGAAAGGAAATTAAAATTAAAGTTTTAATATTGAAACATTATTTGAAATTAAAATATTAATAAATAAAGGAATATTTGAAGTTACTGATTATCATAACAAATAAATAATTGTAGGTTTAGATTAATATTATCAAAGTCAATTATAGGCCAGTTTAAACAAAGATTTTAGTTTATCTTTTAGAGGCAGTTTAAATTTAATTCATGCAGCTGAATTAGAATAAGAAATTTGATTTTGAAAAGTCTAAATTTGATTAATTATAAAAATATTTTTGTATTATTTTTTTAAAATGAAATGTATTTGTATTTTATTATCTAACTATTTGAATAATCAATTCATTTTGCATTAGAATTCTTCCAATTTTAATAAATTTGATTAATATATTTAATAATTATCAAAATTTTTTAAATTTTAAGACTCTTACATCTTACCTCGCAACACGTTCGTTTCCCTTAACGGGGTTTTACGGTATTAATATTGATGATCCTTATTTATATTATAAATAGCTAATTATCCTTTATTATTCAAATTAGAAATATTAGTGTTATAAAAATTTTTTTGATGATATTTACGCCAAAGGCTACTTTTTTCAAGATTTTATATTTTTTTTATTTTAAAAATAAAAAAAACAAATTAAAATAATCTGTTTAAAGAGAAAAAAAATTAAAGAAGTAATGGATATTTAAGGATAGTTGAAGTGCTAAAAACATCGCAATAACGACATTTTGTTTGTCAAAGTTAAAAATATAAAAGATGAAGAAGATGTTTTTTATTGTGAATTGTGCCCTTTTAGCGAATCAAATTTTAGTATGAGTGATTGTACTCCCATCAAATCTATTTTAAATTGGAATGAAGAATCTCCCATTATTAATCTGTTTCCTTTTAATGATTAAGAATTAATTAAAAAGCTTAAAGATATTTATGAGAAAAATATTTATGAATAATTACCAAATCAAATTAATTAATTTTATGATGATTTGTAAGCCAAAATAATGTAAATGATATTTGAATCTAAAAAAACATCTATCACATTAGCTCAATAGCTATGTGAGTAAAAATAAAAGCTTTTGCAATAATATAAGCAAGCAATAAATGCTGATGAAATTAAAAAAATTTTACAATCCTAAAATTCTAATACAGATTAAATTTAAAAAATCTACAAAGATTATATGAAAACTGTTTTTTAAAATTCAGAAAGGAATACTTAAATTTTAAATGATTTAAATAAATAATAGTAAATAACATATGGGGAGCTTAAGTTGGTTTAATAAAAAATAATTTCGAGCAGTTTGCTTTAAATAAAAAATGATAATGATTTTATCAAAAACTTTCCTCTCATACTCCCAAATTAAGTAGATTTAATGCCTTAACTAAAATTTAGAAAAGTAGACAAAGAGGAAAATATGATAAGTAAAAATGATATTTTAAAAATTGTTAACGGTAAAATTTAATTTAAAATGTTTAATCAAAAACCTAATTAATCTTTAAAGAATTATTTTTATGAATCAAACCTTGTTTTAAATTAGAGTAAATTATACATTTTTAGATTTCAGATATCTAATATGTAAGTACATAAAATTGAGATCTTATTAAGCAATAAAACTAAAGCTTATGATATTGAACCTAATAGGATATTTAATAATTATGCACAAAATAATGGAGTATTGTTAGGAAATTAGCAAATTAATTACGATCTCTTTGGAGTTTAGTTAAATAATGGAGGATTGTTTGGAGGTTAGCAAAACAATTAAAGAAACTTCTTAATAAATATTCAGAATAATGGAAATAATTAAATATAATTTATAAATATTAATAGTCATAATAACAGTAATTAATTGTTTGGTGTACCTTAAAATAATTCTAATTAACAAAGCTAATTTTATTCTATAAAAGGAGATTTAAATTAAAGTTTTAATATTGAAACATTATTTGAAATTAAAATATTAGTAAATAAAGGAATATTTGAAGTTTCTGATTATCCTAACAAACAAATAATTGTAGGTTTAGCGTAATAGTATAGAAGTCAATTATAAACCAGTTTAAACTAAGAGTTTGTTTTATCTTTTAAAGGTAGTATAGATTTAATTCATGCAACTGAATTTGAATAAGAAATATAAATATGATTTTGAGGATGTCTAGTATATTTTTAAAATAATAAATTTAATTAATTAAAAATATTTTTAAATTATTTCTTGAAAATAAAATGTACTTATTTATTTATTTGTTTTTTTTTTTATATTTAAAAATTTGAATAATCAATTTGATAAAAATAATTTTATTTATTAGCATATTATTTTTAAAAAAAAGGTAATTAATAAATTAATTACAATAATTAATATTTCAATTATGTTAATTTAATTAGTAATTACAAGTTGTAAGTAGAAAATTGATATTTGTTTATTTGTTTATATAAATATATAATGAAAGCTTAATTGCAAATTTTTTTTATTCAAATATAAAAATACTCATTAAAACAACATCAAAGTTTTGGAGTCTGTTGTATTTTATCAGGATTTTGTTATTTAGCACTTACTGCTTACATGATGAATGTTTTTATCTTCTCCACTTCACTTGGAGAAAGCCTAGGCACTCTATGGCCATAAGAATGATTAATTACAATAGGATTTTTATAAAAAATGCTTGTTATCAATTATCTATCATATAAATCTACATCCTAGTAACTTACATAATGTAGGGATGGTATATTAAGCTAAGGGATAGAGAATGCTGGACCTTAAAGAGGTGAACAGATATAAATAACAAATTTAGGTAGACTATTAATTTAGATTTTATTTTCAAAAACAAGCTACAAAAATGTATGAAACACAGTTCCTCCCTAAGAAAATCCAATTACACCATCGTAAGGCCCATTTTGATTGATATGGTCTGCTATATATGACAGATCTGAAAGCACATTTTCATAATAATCAGATGTTAGAAATTTCAACCAGGTGTATGCATCCTATCCTGCTTCTAATAGCTTTTTGACTCTAACATCGATAACTTCATCGGCTGTTAGTTTGTGTTTACCATTTATATACTCAAATTGTAATTCATTTTTAAAAATGTTTCTCCATTCCTTTGTTTAGAGCTACATAATTGTGCTATTCGTTTAATGGCCATGCAAACACAAAACTTTTAATTTCTTTTTTTCTACCTACATTTTCCTATTTACTAAACTATTGCGCAATATTAATAAAATCTTAATTAATATTTGAAGATTTGATAATAATCTTTAGCTGTAAAAATAGCACAGTTATGATCCAAAATCATCACTTATTACGTCAAATTAATTAGGATGTAATAATGACAATATTTATAAGCAAATTATTTACAATAACTACACAAAATATAAAGAAATAATTAATAAAAGTTAATTTATTATCATTTAATAAATATTAAAACACACATATACAAATAGATTTTTTAAGATTAGATAGATCAATTTACAAATGTCACTGTATCAGTGAGTTATGATAGCTTGTTAATATTGTTTTGTGTATTTGTATTTTTTAAATTCATTTTTTTAATATCATACGATATATCATTTAGTTCATCATGATGATTATACCATATATCTAAGTCGTTTATTGTAAATGGCTAGTCAATGTGGTTTACGATTGATAATTACACAACTATTCTTTTTTAAACTATATCAGAATTATTTTTGATTAAAACCCTATGCATATTTCTGTTTGGGAAAATAATCATCAAATCTTCTTCTAACTTTACACTTCCTAAAGGAAGAGTAAGTTTATTGAGATATTTTTTATCAGAGTCTATGTTATGAAGATGGTAAAGCTAACATTTTAGGAATTAAGTATTCATCTCTTTTTCTTCAAAAAATCTTTTGAATTCGATTGTGGCTTCTAAATCTTTATCTTAATATGGTATGTATAAGCAAGAATACATAATTCCCTCAACAGAAAGTCCTTCTTTATGAGTGCTTCCAATGTAGTTTTATTGTGGAGAAATCTCCATTTCGAAAATTGAGATTTAAGCTCTTATTTCTTTATCAAATATTAAATCTTTTTTGGTATCACTAAAAAGCTATTCTGAATATTAAGCATTTTTAAAGCATTCATGCGTAATTTTAATCTTATCAGACAAAAAATTTACAAGCTGACTTATTTAGTTTTCAAATTCTTCCATTTTAGGAAACTCGCTATATTAGTTTGTCAGCTTTCCTTTAAGTTTATATGATTTGCTATCTTCTGAATAGACAAATTGAGCAGGTAGAGTTAAGCAAAAAGAGTCTGAAATACTATACTTATATCCCCACTCATCTGTTTTGTTTGTATTGCCATTATACTTTTTAAATTTCTTCTCAACAAATGTGTGAATTGGTTTATTTTTTTCGTTGTATCTCTCAGAGAGGTAGGATTCTCTTGAAGAGTCAAATATTTTTCTTATTTTATCTTGGATTTTTACTTCCTTGAAATACCGTTCTAAGTCATTCTTGAAAACAGTTTGAAACTTGTTATCTTAGAAATCCTTCAATTGCGAAATAATGTCTAATAATTATTATTTATAAGCATAAGGCTAATCAAATAAGGAACTTCTTTTTTAAACAATAAATATTTCGTCTGCTTCCTCTTTCAAATAATCATTATACAGGTATTATCTCTGTGAATAATATCTGTTTTTTTTCAAAAACTCATTATAATTGGTGGGTTTAATGTTAGCTGAATATTATTTGAATATATTTTCCTAAGGTGTAGAATTTAATTAACCCATTTAGCACTATATTTACTCAACAAATTTAATTACATCTAATTTTTAATTAAATATTTCAAATGAAATATATATTCCTTTATTTTGTTAAAGAACTTAACTTCTTTTTAGAATATTTAAATTATAGCCATAAAACCATTACAAATCAATTTATGTTACACAGAACTCAAAAAAGCACTAATAAGTAGCCTCTATTATAACAATTTCTTCTTTTCTAAGCAATAGTGTTATAGATTCAATTAATCTTTTCTTTTAGATCTATTTTCTAAAAATAATAAATAACATAAATCAAAGCAACTAGATTTATCATATATAAAAAAACAATGAAATTTTGCAAAATAAAAATGAATTAGACTTTTGTTTTAATATTGAAGATTATTCAATAAAATATAAAAATAAATATTGTACTTGTTTTAAAAATATGTAAGTGGAATTTTATATTAAATTTTTTTGATGGTTTAACTACTTTTGAGTTTAAAAATATTTATGGTAAATGTCAGATGATAATTATATGAGGAATTCTATTATATTGTATTTTATTTTTAATTTTTGTCAATAATTTAATAAAAATTAATTAAAAAATATTTTTTTTGTTAAGGAAATTAAAAAATAATTTTAATCTGACACAAATAAGTTAGTTACTCTCTTGTTAAGATACTTAAATGAAATAAAATATGGCTATTAATAATAAGCTATTTGGTAGTATCATGTAATAAATACATTGAATGTAAAATATTTATTTGTGAAATTAAGAATTATTATGTAATAGTAGAGAGTAGAACAAAATATACCTACTTTATAGAAGATTACATTATATAATAAATCTGTAATACCTCTGTAATTAGTTCTGAAGACAATCAATCAATAAATATATCTTCAAAATATTTTTGACTAAATAATAACAACCAATCATAATGAAAATACTTCTTAAACTTTCATATGCAAAATATTTTTATTTACTAAAAATGCCTTAAATTTCTATTGCTTAATAGTAATTTGAAATAAGTTATAAAAAGATAGACAAACATACTTTTGAAAATTGTTATTTCTATTAAAATCTAGAACATGTTTTTATTTTTTTATCATAAACAAATTTTCTTATTATTGAAATAATTAATTTAATGAATAAATAATATTATTAAAAATTAATAAATATATCTCTTGTCTAAAACTAAAATAATAAATAAGCTTGAAAAATTCCTTTTGCATTCTTAAAAATTGAACAATAATATAAAATGAAGATTTTCTTTCTCTTTTTTTATTTCTTTTAGATAATCTAAACATAGAATTTACAATCTAAAGCTGAATTTATTTCACGCTAATCTGATAGAGTCTAGATAATGTATGTATAAATGCTTAAAGATACACTTTCTTAGGGAGATTCAATAACTAAAACTTTTAGCTTTCCTAAACCTTTTTAAAATATACCAAAAGCTATACTTAACATTTAAAGCTATCATACAAATATTAACTTTTCTCAGTCCTTTAAATTATTCATATAAAATATTACTTTAACTTCAATTACAATAAAACTTTAATCTTTGGACACAACCATTTATGAGCTGAAAATAGGAATACTTGCTGTTGATTATCCTTTTGTAGATGTATTTAATAACACATTAACTTAAAAATAGATAGCAGTTCATAAAGTTGAGAATAAAATTTAATCATATGTCACATTTTTTACTTCCTTCTAAGCAAGTTCCTGCGTTTTTCTAGAATTTAACTTAGATTCCTCTTAAAAAGATGATTACAGTATAGAAGTTAAAGCTAGCGAGTTTAATTGTTTGAACTCTCTTGATTATAATCTTCTAATTATTTACTATAACAGTACAAATTTTCCAGATATGAAATTTTATTATTACTAACACACTGCATTCTCTGATAACATAAATTCAAATACTCTAGTTAAAACAAATTTAACTTCCCCAGATACAGGATTTTATGGAATTAAAGATATGAAAATAGGTTCTTTATTAAGTTTTGGAATTTTTTTTAATCCTAAGGATGAAAATTAACCAATATAAAATGGAAATTATGATTTTTTTACTGATAAAAAAAAATACATAATTTATAATGCAAACTCACAAGTATTTGACCTAATAAAATTAGAATGTCCATCAGGATAATATTTATATAAAGAAAGTTGTATTTTGTAACCTAAAAACGGTATTTATTGCTAAAATAATCCTAATGTCTGCTTTGATTGTGATTCTAAATGCGTAGCTTGTGAAAAATCAGCAACTAATTGCTTAAAATGTGTATCTCCATTATATTTTTATTAAAATAAATGCTTTAATGATATCTAAACAGGCACTTATTGCGATGAAAGTAATATATGCCATACTTGCAATCTTTTAGCTTGCAGTAGTTGTGTTGGTAATGCAGATTTTTGTACCACATGCATTAATGGATATCATTTCTATAACAATAGTTGCACTCAGAATCAACCAAATTAAACATACTGTAAATTTAACACAACTTTAAATTATTATGAGTGTTTTCCTTGTGATAAAAAATGCAATAAATGCTCTGGACCATTATAAAACTAGTGTAGCGAATGTGTAGATTATATGTATTTCTATCAATAATCCTGCACTCCCGAATAACCAAATTAGACAGTATGTACAAATTATATTTGCTAACAATGCTTTAATTTATGCAAATCGTGCTTCGGTGTAAATTAAAATCAGTGTGTATCTTGTATCAGTAATTATTAGCTAAATCCAAACACAAATTAGTGTGAAATATCTATTTGCTAAGATGGATATTATCCAGATAAACTTTTGAACTCTTGTTAAAAATGCAAAAAGGGATGTGATAAATGTATTTAATTTTCGGTTTGTACAGAATGTTCAACTATTGCAAATAGCTAGGGAGTAGTTTAAACATATATTTTAGACGAAAAGCTTCAAGTTTGTATTTTAAATTGCTTAGAGGGATAATATTTAGATTTTTAAACTAATGAATGCTCTGCTTGTGATAAATCTTGTTTAACTTGCAATGGTAAAACTAACTAAAATTGTTTATCTTGTATTAACGGAGCTAGAATTAATAGCTAAGGAATATGCTAATGCTAAAAAGAAAATGAAGGTTTTTCTGATGATTTTAAGTATTGTATCTAGTGCCAAATAAAGAATTGCAATAAATGTTTTTATAGCAACTCATGTGAATCATGCTCAGAATTAGCTTCTCTAAATCCAGAAAAAAACTAATGTATTTGTGAAGATGGTTACTTTTATTCTGATTCTTATAAAAAATGTATCAAATGTATTTAGAGCAGTTGTTTAACTTGCTTATCAGATGGAATTACTTGTACAAAATGCTAAAGTGGTTTTCTTAAGACAGAATAATCGATATGTACCTATTGTAATAACTATAAATACTCGAGTGATGGTAAGAGCTGTGATTCTAAATGTCCTAGTCTTTGTGAGGTAAATAATAATTTAAAAAAGAATATATTTAAGCAATTAATAGTTTTATCAAAATCTTGTAGAAAATACTGCAATTATTACCAAAATAAATCAAAATTTTTTTAATATTGATTTTAAAGAAATTTTAAAACAAAAATTTTTTTCATAAAAACTTTAAATAATTTAAAAAAGCAAATAATTTATTAATATTAAGGTATGTATTGATAAGACTTAGTGCATATAATATTCAAAAGGTGATCCTGATATAGTTCCTAATTAATTATGTCACCATTCATGCTCGTCATGTTCAGGCTTAACTAAATATGATTGTTTATTCTGCTCTTCTCCAACTCGTCATTATAATCATTAAAAAAGAGAGTGTGAATGTATTCCAGGATATTCAGAATCAGGTTAATAAGACTGCAGTCAGACTTAATAAGTTTAACCATTTATCTAAAATATGGCTTATAATACAAACAAAATTTTTTGCTTTGTCTAATCAGGGCTTATTTTTTTAAATCTTAGTCCATCCCTAACCTACTCTTATTAAATATAGCAATTTCTAGGAAACGTATATTATGTTTACAATATTGATAGATCTGCTAATAATTTGTTTTCTTAATATACTAAATACAACTTAAATAATTTATTATCGTAGTATATTTTTCCCAAATCTTTTTCTAATTAAACTTACCAAGACTAAAAATAATAAAGTTAAGATGACTAGAGTGAAATGAATAATCTAACGAGTATTGGAAGAAATTTATATTAAAATTAAACTGATGAAAGTCAATTTGCATAAAATCTTCTGAATTAATCAAATGTTTAATAAGGAAACTTTAATCGTAATTTATTCGAGAGAAATTAAAAAGAAGTTCCAGCAATATAAGATTATAATGACTCACAAAACTTCTAAATTTAATCTAAATACTTTTAAGCAAGCATAATACCTTTATCGGCTACTCTATTTATGTTTATAATTTCTTTAATAATCCATTTTTATTAACTAAAAACATAAAAAATATTAAGGTTTGGATACATTATTAAATGGAATAGTGTTTTATTCCTAATACAAACAAATTCAAATTACTTATTAATCCAATCATTTAATATAGATTTAAGTTAGTAAGATATGGTAGACATCGCAACACTTGCTACATTTTGGTGTTTTTATAGCTTTTTTATGACTTTTTTAGCATATAAAATCTATAAGTAAAATTTTTATGATAAATCATTTTTGCTAACATTTTGCTATTAATCTAATTAAAATAAATACTCACAGTACTATTTTATTTTAATGCAGATCAAGTAAATGATTATTTGTATAATTTTCTCTTTCATCAAAGATAACTTTATATACTCAATATGGGCAATAGTCGCTATTCAAGTAGCTGATATAATTATTAAATTCAACAAAAAGCCTTTTAAGTTAGTATTTGATTTATTAACAATTATTTCATTTGATGGAATATTTACCATAATAATTATTTTATTTGGAGTTATTCTTCTTATCAGTAATAAAGACTCTATCATCCTTTGCTATACTGGAATATTGATTCTTTTAATAATAGTCACTTTCATAAACATTTTAGTTATTATATAAAAAGCTGTCTTTCTGATTTTAAAAAGAAAAAATAGAAGTAAAAAATTAAGCATAAATGATTTAAGTTATAAAAATTAATAAACAAAAACAAACAAAGCTTTAAAATTGTTATCATTTAAAAAAAAATCTTTAGAGTAGCTTGAGTTGTCTATATCAGTTATTAAATGGTAAAAAAATCCATACATTTAAAAAAAAGAATCCTTCTTAGATTGATCTTTATGTTAATGAAAGATATAATGAAAATTCAATATTTAATTATCTTAGTAATTTAATTTGTAATTATTTTTTATTTTAACTTTATTATTTAATTAATTATTCCTTAATTAATATATAAAATATTTTTTGAAAAATTATTTTTGCTTTACAAAGAATAAAAAATTCATTTAGATTTGTAAGTATATAAATTTTTGATTTAGGCATATAGTCAAAATTTTTTAATATTTGGAGTTTGGATAAATGTTAACAACTTATTTATATGAAAAACAAAGTCTCTAATTAATAATCTGAATACATTTCTTTTTATACTAAAAACTTTTGATCATCACCTTTAATTTAATCAATAAAAGTAAATAAACCATATTATGTTTTATTTTTTATTATGATTTTAAAAATAAATATTATAATTTTTTAGTTTGAAATGAAAGCCAGAAAAGTATTTTTACATTTTAAATATTCTAATTAATACATAAAATAGCTTAAATTTATAATACTTTGTTTTTATTTGTTAAAAATATAAATATATATATTTCTTTTACTCAAAAATAAAGTCATTAAAAAATTTCTCTTTACTCTTTTTTAAAAAGATAGATGGTTATTATTAAAATTAGCTCAGAACTATTTTATGTATCCCTATTAAAAGCTAAGATGATTGTGGGATTAATTTGATAAGATTATTGGATGTCTCTATCCACTTATAAGCATTAGAAATAAATTAGATATTTGTAAGAATAGATTCTCCTAATCTTTATTTAATGATAAAGCTTTACATTAAAAATAAAATAATCAACAATGAATTAATATGAAGCATTCATATTTTCCAAATAACAAAACATAATTCACTCAATTTAAAGATTATTTATACCAGAAGGAAAAAAATTGATTTTGTTAGGCTTACATTAAATCTATTTAATTAATGTCAATAGAATTTTTTTTGTACAAACGAAAATTAGATAATATCTTATTCTTAAAAGTAGAAAGCTATTTGTTTCCCTTTGGGATAGGCTGGCTATTTTTTATAAATTATTAAAATTAAAGTTTCTAATTTATTTAGTTGGATAAATTGATTGAAAACATAATATTATTAATCAATAAAAGTATCGCAGTATAAAACAAAAAGGAAGCTAAAAACACCTTTGTATTATTCATAATATAAGAAATTATTCGAAATGAGAATTCCCTACTTCCTATTCCAAATTTGCTAAATACTTATTTTTTTATTAGTCTAAAATAAAGCTTAGCTTACTTATAAATAATCTGATAGAGCTTAGATAATGTACGTTTAAGCTCTCTCAAGTACTCTCTCAGCATATGATTAAACAACTGCCACTTTTAATTTTCCTCAGCCATTTTAAAATACTCCAAAAGTTATTCTGAATGTTTAAAGCTACTATACCTACATTAATTTCCCTTAATCATATAAATTATAAGTATAAACAGTTACTTTAACATCAGTAACAGTTAAAGTTGAATCTTTTGGAACAGATATATACGAACTAAATATAGGAATACTTGCGGTGGATTATCCTAATGCGTTAGTATTTACAAAATCTTTAACTTCAGGATAGTCAGTAGTTCATAAAGTCGATTAGAAAATTTAATCTTATATAACTTTTTTTACTTCTTTTTAAGCTAACTCTTGCATTTAACTAGAATTTAACTTAGATTCTACTTAATAAGATGATTAAAGCATTTCAGTTCAAGCTAGCAACTTTTCTTGTTTGAGCTCTCTCGATTACAATATTTTAGTAATTTACTACGATATTACCAATTTTCCTGATATGCCCTTTTATTCATACAAATCTTCTATATTCTCAGATAATATAAGCTCAGAAAATTATGTTAAAACAAATCTATAATCTCCAGATACAGGTTTCTATGGGCTTAAAGATATGAAAATAGGGTCTTTGCTTAAGTTTGGAATTTTTTTTTATCCTTCAAATCAAAGTTAACCTATTCAAAATGGTAGTTATGTGTTTCATACTAGTAGAGGAAGCTATATAGTTTATTACGCAAATTCGTAAGTTTTTGATCTATAAAAACTATAATGCCCACCAGATTAATATTTATATAAATAAAGCTGTATTATTTCACCTTATAATGGTATTTACTGTTAAAATAATCCTAATGTCTGTTTTGATTGTGATTCTAATTGCTTAACTTGCTAAAATTCAGCTACTTATTGCCTAAAATGTCTCTCTCCCTTATATTTTTATAATAATAAATGCTTCAACAGCATATAACCTGGTACATTTTGTGATGTAAATTATATTTGTCAAACTTGCAATCTATCATCTTGTAGTACTTGTATTGGTGATGCAAATTTTTGTACCTCATGTATAAGTGGATATTATTTCTATAATAATAAATGTACTTAAAACTAACCTAATTAAACGTACTGTAAGTATAGCGCTTCTTTAAAATATTATGAATGCTTTCCTTGTGATAGCAAATGTAATAAATGTTCTGGTCCATTCTATAACTAGTGTAGTGAATGTATAAATCAAGTTTACTTCTATAGTCAGTCTTGTACTATTGACTAACCTCAATAAACAATATGCACAAATTACATATGTTAGCCTTGTTTTAGTTTATGTTAAACATGCTCTGGAGTAAATTAAAACTAGTGCTTGACTTGTATAAACAATTATTCTCTTAATTCAAATACTAATTAATGTGAAATCTCTTCATGCTAAGATGGATATTTTCCAGATAAAAATTTAAACACTTGCTTAAAATGTTAACTTGGATGCAGTAAATGCAGTTCCTATTCAGTTTGCTCTGAGTGCGCTTCTATTAAAGATAGTTAAGGAATAATTTAAACATATATTTTGGATACTTAGCATTAATCTTGTTATCTAAATTGTCCAAATGGTAAATATTTTGATTTATAAACTAGATAATGCACTTCTTGCGATAAATCCTGCTTAACTTGTAATGGCAAAACTAATTAAAATTGTCTCTCATGCATTAATGGAGCTTAAGTCAACAGCTAAGGAATGTGTAAATGCATAAATAAAAATGTAGGCTTTTCATCTGATTTTACTTAATGCATTCCTTGCTAAATAAATTATTGTAGTTAATGTTTTTACAGTAATACTTGTGAAGTATGTTAATAATATGCTTTATTTGACCCAAAGTAAAATTAATGCGTATGTATGAGTGGGTATTTTTATTCAAGTTCATATTAAAAATGCATTAAATGTATTTAAACAAGCTGCTAAAATTGTCTATCAGATGGAAAAACTTGTACAAAATGTCAAAGCGGTTTTCTCTTGTCAAAATACTCAACATGCGTTTATTGTAATAATTATTAGTATTCAAGTGATGGTAAAAGCTGTGATTCTAAATGCCCAAATCTTTGTGAGGTAAAAATTAATAGAACAAAACTTTTAAATTAATAAAGAATGCGTACTGTAATCCCTTATTTAGGCAGCATAAATTTTTATTTTAATTTGAATCTTTTATTTTTAAAAGATTAAATTTTTAGTTTATTTTTACTTATTTTATAATATTTACAAAAATATTATTTAAGGTATGTGTTAATGGGAAGTAGTGTGTATAATATTCTAGAGACGAACCAGATGTAATACCTAATTAATTATGCCATTATTCATGCTCTGGTTGTTCAGGATTAACTAAATTCGATTGCCTTGACTGTTCTTCTAAAACTCGTTTATATAATAATATATCAAAGAAGTGTGAGTGTATTTAAGGGTATTTAGAATCTAATTAAAAAGACTGTGCAAAAATTTAATAAGTTGAACCTTTTATTTAAAACATGTCATAAAAAATAAATCATAGTTTTTACTTTGCTTAATCTGCCCTAATTTTTTTTAGTTTTAGTCCATCTCTAACTTACTCTTATTAGCTATAATAATTTATTGGAAATATATACTATATAAATAATAAAGATAAAAATTCAAAAAACTTGTTTTCTTAATATACTAAATATAACTTAAATAATATCTATAGCTTTAAAAAATCCTCATAATCACCTTCTAATGAAGCTTAATAAAACTCAAGGCATTTGAGAGAAAGCCATGTAAAGGATATTAATGATTAAGAATATTTAAGTTCTGATATAGAGATAATTACATTAAGAGATAATTAAAAAAAAATTAGTGAATAATTAATAATTAAAAGTAACCTTGATAATTAATCTTAAATGAAGGATTAAATCTAAATTCGGAATTTATAAGAAAATAATAATAATTAATTCCCAATAGTTAGTTAATAAGAAGATTAACTAGAAGTCTTAATGTAATCTAAATTTTTCAATGCAAGCATAATACCTCTGTTAACCACTCTAACTTTATTTTTTCTATCTCTTTTAATACACATTTACCAATATAAAGCAAAAAGGCAAATAAAATTTTCTCATATATTAAGATGGAATAGTGTTTTATTTATGATACAAATCAATTCTAATTATTTATTAATGTCATCTTTTAATATTGAATTATAGTATTAAGATACCTTAGACATTATAATGCTTATTATATTTGGTGCTTTTTACAGCTTGCTATTAGTGTTAATTACAATTAAAATATACAAAGGAAATTATTATGGAAAATCCTTTTTTTTGATTAACTATTTTTACTCGGATTAAAATATCTATTCAAAATACTACTTTGTATTAATGTAAATAAAGCAAATAATAATTTGCATGATTTTCTCCTTTTCTAAAACACGCTTTGCTTATTCTATTTGGTCAATTGTGGCTATTCAAATAGCAGATATAGTTATCAAATTCATCAAAAAACCTTTTAAATATTTATTTGATTTTTACACAACTCTTCTTTTAGATGGAATATTTTGCATATTAATGCTTTTGTTTGGAATAGTTCTAAATACATAAAATGAAAGCTCTAAGGTCTCATGTTATACAATTATATTTATACTTCTTATGCTTACCACATTTACTAATATCGTAGTAATTATATATAAAGTGACAATTTTAATAATAAATAGAAGAAAGGCTAATAAAATGGAAAATCTAAAGTAACAAAATTATAAAAATGAATAATCTCAAATAAAAAAAACGCTAAATAGGCTTAATTTAAAAAAAAAATCGTTCGATTAACTAGAAATGTCTTTTAAAGTAGTTAAATGGTAAAAAAATCCATTAACTAAAAGCAGATTATCTTCATAAAACTATTCTTTAGAATAATCTTTAAGTTCGTGATTTTATATTACTATTCTATACAACTATCAAAAGTAACAAAGTTAAGATATACTCAAGAAAAACTATTTTAATTAAATTAAATAATAAAATTTTTTTATTTTACCTCTATTATTAAATATTATATAAAATTATTTTTATATTTATATTTTTTATATTGTATTCAAGTAAAAATATTTTTAAAGTTAATTATAAATCATTTAAATAAATATAAATAAGGAGACGCTTTTTTAAAAATAATTTATTTTTTAATCTAAACTAAAAATAAGTAAAAGAATGATATTAGAATTTTTGTTCTTAGTTGCTTATAAATCGATCCCTGCTTCATTTTTAGTGCAAATACATTATCATTACTAAATCAAAAAAAACTTTACTCTTTATAATTTTATTTAATAAATTAATTGTAATGTTTGCTAATACTTAACAAATAAATTGAAATTTTAACCATAAATAGTAATATAATCTAATTTCCTAATTAAATTACATTTAATTTATCTTTAAGCAACCACTAATCCCTAATTAATTATACATAATTATGGTTTAAAAAGCTTGAATTACATTAAAATTATGTAAACAAAAATCAATAAATTTATTTAGGTCATTATTTAGTGTAATAACATGAATTAATAAGAAAAAATTATTTTCTCTAATTTGACATATTTTTGGAAAGTAAAAAATTATTAATTTTAGCAATTAATAAATATAGATTTATTTTCTCACACTTAATAAAAGGCCAGTTTACTCAATTTTAATTAAAAATAAAGATTACAATATTATAAATGAAACCATGTAATTGATTTCAATAAGAAAAAGTTTAAATTTTATGATAGCCTAAAATTGTAAATTTATTTTTTTTAATAAATCATTTAAAATATTGCTAAAAAAAAAACAAAATTAAAATTGCTAATTAAAAAATCTTCTTTCTCTTAGCATCAAAACTCACTCCATTCATCAATATCAATGAATATTTTAGAAATCCTTTTATACTTTTGTTTAATGCATAAATATTACTTTGTAATGTCTTAAATATTACCTACTATAAAACAATCTGATAGAGCATAAATAATGTATGTATAAGCACTTACAGATACACTTTAAAAATATCAATTTACAACAAGTACTTTTAATTTTCCAAAACCCTTTGAAAATACTCCAAAAGTACTTCTGAGTGTTTAAAGCTATTACAGTGATATATAGATTAAACAACGCTATAAATTATCTATAGAGACTGTTACTTTAACTTCAGTTACAGTGAAAGTTGAGTCATTGGGTACTAAACTCTATGAATTAAATATTGGTATTCTTGCTGTTGACTATCCATAATCTGATGTATTTACATAAATTCTAAGTTCAGATACAGAAGGATAACTTACTTCTATACACAAAGTTGCTAACAAAATACAATCATATGTAACATTTTTTACTTCATTTTAAGGAAGCAGTTGCGAATATCTAAAATTTAACTTAGATTCACAATAGTTAGATGATTACACTATAAAAGTATCTGCGAATAGTTTTAAATGTATAGGCACTATATATTATAATATTTTAATAATACATTATGATAATAACTTTCCTTATGCACCATTTTATCAATATTAAAATTAAATATTTTAAGATTAAATAAATTCTGAAAATTTAGTATCAACAAATCTTAATTCTCCAGATACTGGATTTTATGGTATAAAAGACATGAGTATAGGTTCTTGGTATAGTTTTGGAATCTTTTTTTATCCCTAAAATTAAAACTAACCTATTTAAAATGGAAAGTATGTTTTTCATACTGATAAAAAGAAATATATTATTTATCAGGCATACTCATAAGTATTTGATTTAATATAGCTAGAATGTCCTCGTGACTATTATTTATATAAATAAAGTTGTATAATTTCTCCTTACAATGGTATTTATTGTTTAAATAACCCTAAAGTCTGTTATGATTGCGATTCTACATGTTTAACTTGCCAAGATTCAGCTACTAATTGTCTAAAATGTGTCTCTCCTTTGTATTTATATTAAAACAAATGCTCAAGTAGCATCTAATAAGGTACTTACTGCGATGAAAATCATATTTGCTTAGCTTGTAATCAATCTTGTAGTACTTGTATCAATAATGCTAATTTGTGTACTTCATGTATAAATGGATATTATTTTTACAATAACATTTGTACAAAAGATCAACCTAATTAAACATATTGTAAATAAAGTCTCTCTTAATAGTACTAAAAATGCTTTTCTTGCGATATGAAATGTAAAAAATGTTCAGGACCATTCTATAACTAGTGCAGTGAGTGTTTAAATAATTATTATTTCTATAAAAATTCTTGCTATATTGATTAGCCCGAATAAACAACCTGCCAAAATTATAAATGTTAGCCTTGTTTTAATTTATGTTAAACATGTTCTGGAGTAAATTAAAACTAGTGCTTGAGTTGTATAAATAATTATTCTCTTAATTCGAATACCAATTAATGTGAAATTTCTACATGCTAAGATGGATATTTTCCTGATAAAAATTTAAACTCTTGCTTATTATGCTAACTTGGATGTAGAAAATGTAGCTCATTTTCAGTTTGCTTAGAGTGCGCTTCTATTAAAGATAATTAAGGAATAACTTAAACCTATATTTTAGATACTTAGCATTAATAATGTTATTTGAAATGTCCAAATGGTAAATATTTTGATTTATAAACTAGATAATGCACTTCTTGCAATAAATCTTGTTTAACTTGTGATGGTAAAACTAGTTAAAATTGCCTCTCATGTATTGATGGAGCTTACATTAATAGCAATAGAATGTGTGAGTGCTAAAACAAAAACTAAGGATTTGCATCTGATTTTTCGAAATGCATCTCTTGTTAAATAAAAAATTGTAGCAAGTGTTTTTATAGTAATACTTGTGATTCATGTTCAGAGTTTGCTCTGTTTAATACTTAAAAAAATGAGTGCACCTGCATGAATGGTTACTTTTTTTCTAATTCTATTCAAAAATGTACAAAATGTATTAAAAATAACTGTTAAACTTGCCTCTCTGATGGCCTTACTTGCACAAAGTGTTAGAGTGGTTTTCTCATGACTAAATATTCGACATGCGTTTATTGCAACAATTATTAATATTCAAGTGATGGTAAAAACTGTGATTTAAAATGCCCAAATGGTTGTTAAGTAAAATAGTATTAATATTTTTTATTAATTTAAAAGAATCCATAAACTGCAATCCCTTCATTATCTGATAGATATTTTTAAAATTCAATTAATTTTTTTTATTCAAAAATTTTTTTTTTTTCAAATTTATTAAAAAAATATTTAATTAATTATAAATTATTATTATATAAGGTATGTGCTAATGGAAAAAAGTGCATATAATACTCAAGAGATAATCCAGGAGGAATTCCAAACTAATTTTGTCATAATTCATGTTCTTCATGTTCAGGTTTAACTAAATTTGATTGCCTTAACTGTTCTTCTTCAACCCGTATTTACAACTAAACAACCAGGAAATGCGAATGTATTTCAGGTTATTTTGAATCTAATTTAAAAGATTGCTCTTAAATTTAATAAGTAGAACCTTTTATATAAAATATGGAATATAAACTTGATCTAGTTTTTTATTTTGTATAGTCTTTTTTGATTTTCTTTAATGTAAGTCCTTCATTGATTTATTCTTATTAGATATAATAAATGATTGGAAACATTTATTACATAAATAACTAAGATAAAGTTTCAAATAACTTATTTTCTTAATACACTAAATATAACTTGAATAATATATTCCAAATATAAATCTCTCCTTAATATTCTCCTAACTAAAAATAGTAAAATTCATAATTAAATTAAAACTAAAAATATGATTAAAATAGTTAACGATAACTAAAATAATAAGAATAAATGTAAAAATAAAAAAATATAAGGAGAAATCTATCTGATGATTAGCAGGATTTTGAAACAAAATAAGTTAAAAATTTAAAAGATAAACTAATAAATTAAGAATAAGGTGAAAATAGATTTTTATTAGAAAGTCTTTAAAATTAGTTTCCTTTGGTTTTTGAATAAAAAAACTTTCTAAAAGTTGAATTGTAATCTAGTTTTTTTTATTCTAGCATAATACCAATGTCAACGACTCTATTATTCTTATTTCTATCTTGTTTGATTTAATTTTATTAATTAAAAACATTAAAAAAATTAAGATTTGGATATATTATAAAATGGAATAGTGTTTTATTATTCGTTTCTATCAATTTTAATTTTTTACTTATGTCTTGCTTCAATATTGAAATTAATAAATAAAATTTTATTGATTTTATATTCCTAGCTATATTTGTAATAACTTACAGTGTTTTGTTATTTTCACTAACATACTAAATATACTAAGGAAATTGTTATGGAAAATCTTTCAAAATGATTAACAAATTCTAATAGTAAGAAAATATTTATTCCCGATACTATTTTATTTTGATGCTATTAAAGTAAATAATAATATCGATGATTTTGTCTTTGACTAAATGCTACTTTCTTTACTTTATTTGGTTAATAGTAGTTATCTAAATAGCAGATATAGTAATTAAATGTTTCAAAAAACCATTTAATTTGCTATTTGATTTTTATATAACCCTTTCTCTAGATGGAATTTTTTGCATAGTGATGCTTTTGTATGGAGTGATTCTTAATACTTCAAATATAAACTCAAAAGTTATTTGCTATACATTAATATTGATTTTGTTAATGATGATTATATTCATAAATATTTTAACAGTGGGTTATAAGTTTTTAATATTTATTACTCAAAGAAAAAAAATTAGTAAAGATGAAAATTTAAAAGAAATTAAATATAATCGGTTTTAAAAATAAACAAAGCAGGCTCTAGAAATGTTTAGCTTTTAAAAAAAACAGTTAGAGTAAGTAAATTTATCTTTCCAAGTAGTTAAATGGGAAAAAAATCCTTTAAATAAATCTAAATTAACTTCATCAAATATAATACCAGGTTCAACTGATAATAAATGATTTAACAAATTAATCTTAATCCTTAATTTATCTATATAACAAACAATCTTAATAAATTATATATTTATAAATAATTTAATTTTATATTTTGAGTAATTGAATTAATATATTCATTTCATCAATTTAAATATATTTACTATATTTTTTATCTAATTATATTAATTATTTAACAAATAATAATTTTAAACATTTGAAATAACTAGATTTTTAGTTTATTTTTTACTTATTTTTTAATATTTACAAAAACATTATTTAAGGTATACTATAATGGGAAGTAGTGAGTATAATATTCTAGAGATGAACCAAAAGTAATACCTAATTAATTATGCTATTATTCATGCTTTAGTTGTACAGGATTAACTAAATTCGATTGCCTTAACTATTCTTCTAAAACTCGTTTATATAATAATATATCAAAGAAGTGTGAATGTATTTAAGGTTATTTAGAATCTAACTAAAAAAACTGTGCAAAAATTTAATAAGTTGAACTTTTTATCTAAAACATGCCATAAAAAAAATATATATATAGATAATAAAGATAAAAATTTAAAAAACTTGTTTTCTTAATATACTAAATATAACTTAAATAATATCTATAGCTTTAAAAAATCCTCATAATTATCATCATCATATGAAGCTTAATAAAATTTAAGGCATTTAAGAAAAAGCCCTGTAAATGGTGTTAATTATTAAGAATATTTAAGTTCTAAAGTAGAGATAATATAAAGAGATAATTAAAAAAAAATTAGTGAATAATTAATAATTAAAAGTAACCTTGATAATTAATATTAAATGAAGGTTTAAATCTAAATTCGGAATTTATAAGAAAATAATAATAATTAATTCCCAATAGTTAGTTAATAAGAAAATTAACTAGAAGTCTTAATGTAATCTAAATTTTTCAATGCAAGCATAGTACCTCTTTTAGCCATTCTAACTTTATTTTTTCTATCTCTTTTAATACACATTTACCAATATAAAGCAAAAAGGCAAATAAAATTTTCTCATATATTAAGATGGAATAGTGTTTTATTTATGATACAAATCAATTCTAATTATTTATTAATGCCATCTTTTAATATAGATTTATAGTATTAAGATACCTTAGACATTATAATGCTTTTTATATTTGGTGCTTTTTACTGCTTGCTATTAGTGTTAATCACAATTAAAATATACAAAGGAAATTATTATGGAAAATCCTTTTTATTGATTAACTATTTTTACTCGGATTAAAATATCTATTCAAAATACTACTTTGTATTAATGTAAATAAAGCAAATAATAATTTGCATGATTTTCTCCTTTTCTAAAACACGCTTTGCTTATTCCATTTGGTCAATTGCGGTATTCAAATAGCAGATATAGCTATCAAATTCATCAAAAAACCTTTTAATATTTATTCGATTTTTACACACCTCTTCTTTTAGATGGGATATTTTGAATATTAATGCTTTTGTTTGTAATAGTTCTAAATACATAAAATGAAAACTCATGCTATACAATTATATTTATACTTCTTATGCTCACCACATTCATCAATATCGTAGTAATTATACATAAAGTGGCAATTTTAATAATAAATAGAAGAAAAACTAATAAAATGGAAAATCTAAAATAATAAAATTATAAAAATGAATAGTCTCAAATAAATAAAAAACTTACTAGGCTTAATTAAAAAAAAATCATTTGATTTACTAGAAATGTCTTTAAAATAGTTAAATGGTAAAAAAATCCATAAAATATGATAGCATTTAAACTCTTTAACTTTTATAAAGTTACATCTTTCTATAATATACGATGTGTTTTTGATTCATTTTTATCTTATTTCTTTCAATAATATGTATTTGTGAAATGGCATATTTTAGTAAGAAAATCTTCATTTAAAAACAAAGAAAAGTGATCTAATGGGGTTGCTAGATTTTTCATTTATTTTGGAATACCAACATCTTACTCAAACAATAATGATATTAAAATTTTTGCTCTTAGTTGCATATAAAACATCCCTCCTACCTCATTTTGAGTTCAAATATGATATAAAAACTAAATTAAAAAAAATTTACTCCTTACAATTTTATTTAAATAAATAAATTGCAATTTTTATTTCAAGCTTAACAAAAAAATAGAAATGAATGCAATTTTCTAATTAATTTATCTGTAAGCAGCTACTAATCCCTAATTAATTATTATGGTTTAAAAAGCTTGATTTACATTAAAATTATATAAATAAAAATCAATTATTTTATTTAGATCATCATTTATTTAGCGTAATAAATAATATGAATTAATAAGAAAAAAATAATTTATTTTTTCCAACTTGACATATTTTTTGAAAGTAAAAACTTTAGCTCTTAATATCTTTTGATTTATTTTATTACACTTAATAAATAGCTAGTATACTCAATTTTAATTAAAAATATTGTTTACAATATTACAAAAGAAACAGCGCAACTAATTTCAAAAATATAAAATTCATGATAACCTAAAATTGTAAATATATTTTCTTTAAAAAATATTAATTTATTAAACATAAATATTGTTTGTTTTTAATATTATATAGAAAAAGAAAACAAAAATAAAATTAGTAAACAAAATCTTCTTTCTCTTAGCTCCAAAACGCCACGCCATTCATCCATATTAATGAAAATTTTAGAAATCTTTCTATTCTTTTATTTAATGCATAAATATTACTTTGTAATGTCTTAATCATTACCTAGTATAAAGCAATCTGATAGAGCATAAATAATGTATGTTTAGCCACTCTTAGAAACACTTTAAGAAAATTAATTTACAACACGCACTTATAATTTTCCAAAACCTTTTGAAAATAAACCAAAAGTAGCTCTGAGTGTTTTAAGCTATTACAGTGACATAGAGAATTAACAATAATATATACTATCTGTTGAAACTGTTACATTAACTTCAGTTACAGTTAAAATTTAGTCAGTAGGGACTACATTCTATGAATTAAATATTGGGATTCTTGCCGTTGACTATCCATAAGCTGATGTTATTACAAAAACTCTTAGTTCGGGTGTAGGAGGATAACTTACTTAATAACATAAAGTTTCTAATAAAATACTATCATATGTAACATTTTTTACTTCATTTTATGGAAGTGAATGTGTCTATCTAAAATTTAAATTAGATTCGCAATAGTTAGATGATTATACTATAAAAGTATCTGCGAGTAATTTTAATTGTATTGGATCTGTAACATATAATATCTTAATAATATATTATGATATTAATAGCTTTCCTTATGCACCTTACTATCAATTTTAAAATTAAATATTTTAAGATTAAATAAGCTCTCAAACTCTTGTATCAACAAATCTTAAATCTCCAGATACTGGATTTTATGGAATAAAAGACATGAGTATAGGTTCTTTGTTTAGTTTTGGAATCTTTTTTTATCCTTCAAATTAAAATTAACCTATTTAAAATGGAAAATATAATTTTTATACTGACAAAAAGAGATATTTTGTTTATCAGGCGTACTCACAAGTATTTGATTTATTATAGCTAGAATGTCCTACTGGCTAATATTTATATAAATAAAGTTGTATAATATCTCCTTATAATGGTATTTATTGTTTAGATAATACTAAATTATGTTTTGACTGTGATTCTAGTTGTTTAACTTGCCAAGATTCAGCTACTAATTGTCTAAAATGTGTCTCTCCTTTATATTTCTATTAAAACAAATGCACAAGTAGCATCCAATAAGGTACTTACTGTAATGAAAATCATATTTGCTTTGCTTGTAATCAATCTTGCAGTACTTGTATCAATGATAGTAATTTTTGTACTGCATGTATAAATGGATACTATTTTTACAATAATGTTTGTACAATAGATCAACCTAATTAAACATATTGTAAATAAAGCCCCTCTTAATAGTACTAACAATGCTTTTCTTGTGATATGAAGTGTAAAAAATGTTCAGGACCATTCTATAACTAATGCAGTGAGTGTTTAAATAATTATTATTTTTACAAAAATTCTTGCTATATTGATTAGCCTGAATAAACAACCTGCCAAAATAATATATGTTAGCCTTGTTTTAGTTTATGTAAAACATGTTTTGGAGTAAATTAAAACTAGTGTTTGACTTGTATAAGCAATTATTCTCTTAATTCAATGACTAATTAATGTGAAATTTCTACATGCTAAGATGGATATTTTCCTGATAAAAATTTAAACTCTTGCTTATTATGCTAACTTGGGTGTAGTAAATGCAGCTCATTTTCTATTTGTTTAGAGTGTGCTTCTATTAAAGATAATTAAGGAATAATTTAAACCTATATTTTGGATACTTAGCATTAATCTTGTTATTTAAATTGTCCAAATGGTAAATATTTTGATTTGTAAACTAGATAATGTACCTCTTGTGATAGATCTTGTTTAACTTGTAATGGTAAAACTAGCTAAAATTGCCTTTCATGCATTGATGGAGCTTAAATTAATAGCAATAAAATGTGTGAGTGCTAAAACAAAAACGAAGGATTTGCATCTGATTTTTCGAAATGTATCTCCTGTTAAATAAAAAATTGTAGCAAGTGTTTTTATAGTAATACTTGTGACTCATGTTTAGAATTTGCTCTGTTGAATACTTAAAAAAATGAGTGCACCTGTATGAATGGCTACTTTTTTTCTAATACTATTCAAAAATGTACAAAATGCATTAAAAATAACTGTGGAGCTTGCCTCTCAGATGGTATTACTTGCACAAAGTGTTAGAGTGGTTTTCTTATGACTAAATATTAAACATGTGAGTATTGCAACAATTATTCATATTCAAGTGATGGTAAAAACTGTGATTTAAAATGCCCAAATGGTTGTCAAGTAAAATAATATCAATTATTTTTATAAATTTAAAAAAATCCATAAACAAACTAACTGCAATCCCTTAATTGATAAAGATTTTCAAATTTAAATAATTTTTATTTAATCTAAAATATTTTTTTTTTTCATATTTATTAAAAAAATATTTAATTAATTATAAATTAAAACATAATAAGGTATGTGTTAATCGAAACAAATGCATATAATACTCAAGTGATAACCCAGGAGTAATTCCAAACTAATTGTGTCATTATTCATGTTCTTAGTGTTCAGGCTTAACAAAATTTGATTGCCTTGACTGTTCTTCTTCAACCCGTATTTACAACCAAAAAACAATGAAATGTGAATGTATTTCTGGTTATTTTGAATCTAATTAAAAAGACTGCTCTATAATTTAATAAGTAGAACCTTTTATCTAAAATATGGAATATTAACTTGATCTAGTTTTTTATTTTGCATAGTCTTTTTTGATCTTCTTTAATATCAGCCCTTCATTGGTTTATTCATATTAGATATAATAAATGATTGGAAACTTATATTACATAAATAACTAAGATAAAGTTGCTAATAACTTATTTTCTTAATACACAAAATATAACTTGAATAATATATTCCAAATATAAAACTCTCCTTAATATTCTCTTAACTAAATATAGTAAAATTCATAATTAAATTAAAACTATAAATATAATTAAAATAATCAAAGGTAATTAAAATAATAGCAATAAATGTAAAAATAAAAAAGTATAAGGAGAAATCTATCCAATCATGAGCAAGATTTTGAAACAAAATAAGTTTAGAATTTTAAAGATAATATTATAAATAAATAAAAAAGTGAAAGTAGATTTTTATTATAAAGCATTTAAAATTAGTTTCCTTTAGTTTCTGAATAAAAAAACTTTCTAAAAGTTGAATTGTAATCTAGTTTTTTTTATTCTAGCATAATACCGATATCAACTACTCTATTATTCTTATTTCTCTCTTGTTTGATTTAATTCTACTAATTGAAAACATTTAAAAAATTAAGATTTGGATATCTTATTAAATGGAATAGTGTTTTATTATTCGTTTCTATAAATTTTAATTTTTTACTTATGTCTTGCTTCAATATTGAAATGAATAAATAAAATATTATTGATTTTATATTCCTAGCTATATTTGTAATAACTTACAGTGTTTTGTTACTTTCACTAACATACTAAATATACTAAGGAAATTGTTATGGAAAATCTTTCATTATGATAAACAGATTCTAATAGTAAGAAAATATATATTCCCGATACTATTTTATATTGATGCTATTAAAATAAATAATAATATCAATGATTATGTGTTTGACTAAAAGCTATTTCGTTTACTTTATTTGGTTAATAGTAGTTATCTAAATAGTAGATATAGTAATTAAATGTTTCAAAAAACCATTTAATTTGTTATTTGATTTTTATATAACCCTTTCTCTAGATGGAATTTTTTGCATAGTGATGCTTTTGTATGGAGTGATTCTTAATACTTCAAATATAAACTCAAAAGTTATTTGCTATACATTAATATTGATTTTGTTAATGATGATTATATTCATAAATATTTTAGCAGTGGGTTATAAGTTTTTAATATTTATTGCTCAAAGAAAAAAAATTAGTAAAGATGAAAATTTAAAAGAAATTAAATATAATCGGTTTTAAAAATAAACAAAGCAGGCTCTAGAAATGTTTAGCTTTTAAAAAAAACAGTTAGAGTAAGTAAATTTATCTTTCCAAGTAGTTAAATGGGAAAAAAATCCTTTAAATAAATCTAAATTAACTTCATCAAATATAATACAATGTTCAACTGATAATAAATGATTTAACAAATTAATCTTAATCCTTAATTTATCTATATAACAAACAATCTTAATAAATTATATATTTATAAATAATTTAATTTTATATTTTAAGTAATATTATTAATTTTTTCATATCATCAATTTAAATATATTTACTATATTTTTTATCTAATTATATTCATTATTTAACAAAGAATAATTTTAAACATTTGAAATTTCAATAAATTTACTTGGTTTATTTGAAATAAATATAATTTTCTATTCAAACCAGCCAGGTTATTAGGTAACATAAAATGGAGATTGTGGTTCAAACAGCTAAAATGATAACTGCCTTGTTTATGATGAATATGGAAACTGTACTCTCTGCAATGATGGGTATTATCCTAACTAAAATGGTTGTTCTAACTAAGATCTTTGCTGGTTAAAGTTAGATCCTGTTACTAATTCTTTATTTTGTAGTGAATGTAGATAATAAACTGACAAATAAATTGCAAAGATAAACTAAGTTTGTTAAGTTACTAATAAAAGAGATAATTGCGCTTAATATGTAAATACAACAAGTTAGTATGGTTAAACATAAGCTGTTTGCATAAGATGCTAAGATGGTAAATAAATTTTTTGATTAAATTTAATTAATATTTGTTTAAAATTTCTATCATAAGTTTAAAAAAAAAACAATTATTTTTCGATTGTTTATTTGAATTAATTTAAATCTAATAAAACTACTTTAACAACTAAGGGTTATTATCTTTAAATTTTCATTTCTTTTTTCAAATAAAAACTTTTCTTCAGACTTCATAATTTTGCATATTCAGAAGAATATATTTCTTTTTATTTAAATACATAAAAAAAATTTATAAAACTTTCTTATTATAACCAATTTTTTAAATGAGAAAATACAAAAATCTCTCTATCATCTTAAAAATACACATTATATCAAGGTGTATATATCTAAGAAGCAATCTAATAGGTTATAAAGTATAATTAAATTGTCAAATTGATGAATTATTACTCATTAATAAAAGTACTAGATTTAATTTTAATTTATGTAATATGAGTTGAAAAAAATATGATAAATATATTTAATTAAAAATTTTCTATTAGAAAAATAGTTATAAGCAGAATATTAACATAAAAATGATAAATGCTTTTTTTAAATCCTTTTAAACTAGAATAAAATTTTTAATAAATAATCTTAAAATAGAATAAAAATAATTAAAATATTATAAACATAAATCTTTTTATTTTAATTAAAAAATGTAAAATTAATAGATTCGCAATCAACTCTTGGAATTTATAATTTGTTCTAGAAATTCATATAGTTTAGCATGCATACAACTCTGTTCAATAATTTCTAATAATTATTAAATATTGTGTGATCGTCTTTAACATTTGAATTTTTTGATATAGAAACTTTCTATTAGAAATGCTTTTTATTGTTAATCAAAATTTACAGAATATATATTGCATAAATTACTTAATTATTATGCTAAAAAGCATAAAATAAATTAAATGGTCTACAGACATTAAAATTTTGATTTTTCAATATAATTTATATAATAAGCAAAGGATACTTCAAAAGCCATTATTTAAAATATTTTAAAATCAATAAGCGATTACAGGATTTTAAATTATCTTTTTGCTCATTTAGTCAGATTGATATAATTTCAAATAATTATATTTTATTTTTGCTTATTAACTTATTTATTTGTCTATTTTTATCAATTCATAAAGATATTTTGATTTTTAGGAGAACAAATAAAAGCAAACATAGAAAAAAGTCTAAATTATTATATTATGAGCAATTTCTCATAATATATTAGAAAAATCTACTCACAAATAATTTTAGATTTATTTTGAAAATAATTTTTCAAACCTATTTAAATTATTAGTAATGATAGATAAAGTCATCAAAATTTCTAATTTTATTTGAGTGCTAGTTAGTTTGTTTATTTATAATTTTACTCTTTATAATTTATAATAAATATTTGATTTTTTAGATGAATAAAATCAAAAAGCGATTAAAGGATATTTAATTATATTTTTGTTAATTTAGCCAGATTGATATATTTTCAAATAATTATATTTTAGTTTTGCTCATTAACTTATCTATTTGTCTATTTTTATCAATTCATAAAGATATTTTGATTTTTAGGAGAATAAATAAAAGCAAGCATAGAAAAAAGTCTAAATTATTATATTTTGAGCAATTTCTCATAATATATTTGAAAAAATTCTATTCTCAAATAATTTTAGATTTATTATGAAAATAATTTTTCAAACCTATCTAAATAAATTATTGGTTATGATAGATAAAGTCATCAAAATTTGTAATTTTATTTAAGTGCTAGTTAGTTTGTCAATTAATAATTTTACTAGTTAAAGCTAATAATAAATATTAGATTTTTTAGATGAAATTAATAAAAACATATTAAAAAAAGAGCTTAATTACTTACTTTAAAACAATCTTTAAATGATTCAAATAATTATCTAAAATATAATTTAAATTGTTTTTTAAAACAAATATGAAAATATTTTAAAGATCTTATGTTTGATTTAAAATTAGAAATGCATAAATTTATTTGTCAATCTATCTATCTATGAATTGGATTGTTTATTTATTTACTATTTTGTGCTTACAATTAAAATTTTGATTTTCAGGAGAACATATAAAATGCATTAAAAGAGAAGCTAAATTATTTGTTAAAAGCAATTAGAAATCAAATAGAATAAAATTCTACCAAAAAATAAAATTAAATTTACTTTAAAAAAACCTTTTAAATCCATTTTAAATGTGTATAAAGCGGTAAACAAACAATATGTAATGATAAATTTTATTATAATCAAATTTGTTTATTTCTTTATTTACTTTTTTGGATATGGATATTTCAAGATATGTGAGAACATTTAAAAAAATTTGAAAATTTGATTGTGATTTGGCTGAATAAAATTCTACCGCGAAATAATTTTAAATTTTTTTGAAAAAAAACCATTAAAATTTATTTAAAATATTTTTATAAAAATGCTAATATCATTTTTATGTAAGATTCAATTCATTATAGCTGAAATTTTTTGCTTTTAAAGTTTGTGCTTAGTTTTTACCATAAGATAATAAGATAGAGGAAATAGATAATAATGTGTTTGAATAAGTTTACAAATAGAAACTACATATACAGATGCACATTTATTCTTAGAGACACTTTATGAATACTAAAATATAATACATAACATATTCTTATGATTTTTTTTACTAAAGATAATTGAAAGATATCTTTTGTTTCTAATAGCTATCAAATAAAAATCAAACTAATGATTTCTGATTAAACCTTTTTTGATGAATATTAAGTATTTAGTTTTGTTACAACAATCATATTAATTTATGGTCAAATTTTACTTTGCAAAGTATTTATATATTCTTTTCCTTCATTTAATTTAAAAGATCAAATTAAAATCTGCTATCATTTTCTTGAATTTCCAATCTGCTCTGCCTCTTGTATGTCTGATGTTTAAAAGGAGAATCTTTTACAAAAATAGATTTTTTATAATAAAAAATTTAATGTATTTCTGCTTTATTTTACTATACATATTAATATTTCAGATAGATTGTTATTTCATTCATTTCTCAATATATTTAAAAAAAACCAGAATTTTGTTTAACATAAACTTATTTTTTATTGCTTGATTTGAATAAATAGTATTTAATCTTATATGTGCTAATATTTGATAACTCTAAGAGATCAAATAAAATGGATTGTTGACTTTAAATATCGAGTCAGATTTTACATCAAAAGAAAGATATAATAAAATAAATAAATAAAAATAAAATAAATTGTTATAAAAAATGAAAAGATAGCAATTCTTTTACATACTGGGCTTATTAACTCTTTGCTCTGTCTTTGTGACATAAGTTCAAAGTCAAGAACTGATTAACAACTGTGCTCTACATTACGATGTGTTTGATTACTACAATCCTACTATTGTGAGAAAAATTTGCATTAAATGCTAAAGCACTCCTACTGAAGCCTATGTGCTGAGATATGACTTCCAAGAATGCATACGTACTGTGAACTTTTTAGATGGACTCTAAAATTGCTAATAGCTCACTTTGGATGGCAAGTGCAAGCAGACTTTAAGTAACACAACAATTGTGAATTCTGATAATTGGACAATTGTTCCTTAGAATAGAACTGATAGTTTATTTGCTAACAACTGTGCCTAAATAAATAGCTTAGGTTAATGTGTTTTCCCAACTTTCCCAAATGCTATATCTACTGTTTTAAGCATTAATAACAATTTTGTCTTTTAACTTGAATGTGCTTTCGCAGACTAAAATTCGAAATGCTAAAAAACTCACTATGGCTTTATCTTTACTCCCACCTAAAACTACTTTTTGTTTGATTTCTAAAACTATGATAAATTAAACAAAACTATTCTTTCTTCTGCAACTGATCGCCTTAATTGTGTTAAAGGTTATTCTTTTACTGAAACTGGCTGTATTTAGGATTTCTCTTCTTTTCCTTCAATTCCAAATTGTGCTGAATAAATGGGTGATTATTGCTACACATGCAACAATGGATACACCTTGCAAAATACTCGTTAGTCTTGCTAACAAGTAGGTAATGGCGTAAACTGTTTGACATTTGAAATAATTCGTGGTGTTAAATAATGCATATTATGTGATACTTCTTCTGCTTTATACAGAGGCTAATGCTATTCGAATATTGCACCATCCCACTAAAACATCAGATTTGGTACTTTCTGCAAGGCTCCTTACTACTAAAAAGGTTGTACTTAAGTCTAAAAAAATTTACCTACAAACTGTGCAATTTTAGATGCTTAGAAAGGCACTTGTGCCTAATGCTCAGATGTCGAAAATTATTACTTTGATATTAAATCAAATTCTTGCAAAGGTAGAGTTTTTTCTGTTAATTGTGCATTAAAGCATCCAGTTAGCGATTCTTGTTATGTAGCTTACTGCCAACCTGGATTTAGATACAGATACCCTCTTCCCACTTTTTATCCTCCTACTTACACATATGTTGATGCTAAATACAACAATATTTGGAGAAATTAATTTTTAGCTGCTAAGTAAAATGTTACAGTAAACGAGTGTATAGTTAATACTAGCAATCCCATAGATACTAATTGCTAAACCTATGATAAGTATGGATAATCCTGTGTTTTGTGCAAATCTAACTATTGGTTGCTCTAAAAGAATGACGGATCAGGATATTTTTACTGCTCAAATAATTTGACCTAATTCAAAGTTTTTAGTGATAAGTGCTTAACATTTACTCCTAGCAGAGATAGATGCACTTCTTGTCAGACAGGTTATTAGGTAACATAAAACGGAGATTGTGGTTAAAGCAGCTAAAATGATAACTGCCTTGTTTATGATGCCTATGGAAACTGTACTCTCTGCAATGATGGGTATTATCCTAACTAAAATGGTTGTTCTAACCAAGATCTTTGCTGGTTAAAGTTAGATCCTGTTACTAATTCTTTATTTTGTAGTGAATGTAAATAATAAACTGACAAATAAATTGTAAATATAAACTAAGTTTGTTAAGTTTCTAATAAAGGAGATAATTGCGCTTAATATGTATATACAACAAGTTAATATGGTTAAACATAAGCTGTTTGCATAAGATGCTAAGATGGTAAATAAATTTTTGATTGAATTTCATTAATATTTGTTTAAAATTTTCTTTTATTAAAAAGGGTATGCTTTACCTTACGCTAATGGACCATGTGAAAAAAACTACTGGAGAGAATGGGAGTATAAAAGTGTGAGAACATATGATAGTGCTTATATTTATAATGGATGGACTAGTGATGGAATTTTAGTTAGATAAACCACCTAGGATATTACTTGTTAGTCAGGGTATGTTAAATAATAATGTGATACCTGTTCTCTAAATTGTCTTAATTGCATAGATGATATCTGCTATTAATGCTAAACTGGATTTGCTTTGACTAGTTTATATGAATGCGCCTGAATTTCTTGAGATAAATCATCTATTAAATTGATTAAGATATTATATAAATAAAAATCTAAAATAATAACTATTTTTTTAAAGTATTACATTTTATAGAAAAATTTATAAAGCTGTTTATCATAAATTTAAAAAAGAAAAATTATTTAATGTTTATTTGAATTAATTTTAATGAAATAAAACCTCACTTCAACAATTAAGGGTTATTATCTTTAGATTTTCATTTCTGTTTGTTTTCAAATAAAAACTTTTCTTCAGACTTCATAATTTTGCATATTTAGAAGAATATATTTCTTTCTAATTAAATACATAAAAACTTTTTTATTATAACTAACTCAATACTTTTACAATATTTAGATTAGAAAGATAGGCTAAAAAAAATATTTTCTGAGTGAAAGTAATATAAGTGATGATTTAATAGCTGAATCCTTCACAGAATTAAGTGATTCTGGCTCTCTCATTAGTAAAAAGTTTTAATTAATACTTTAAACTAATCAATTTATTTAATTAATAAGTCCATTTTAAAAAAGATAATATAGTACGTTTAAGAATTAAAATTTTGTATTATGGAAGCTGAATAGTAGATTATATTCAATTTTTAAATATATATTTTTATAAAGAATATATTTATTTAATTAATATATTTCAGGATTTATTATTCAGTTAAATATATTTATAAATTTATTTATTTAACTTACAAGTATTTAAAAAGTAGATCAGAGTTAGAAATTAAATTTTAATTTAAAAGATTATTTACGTACTATTTATATAAAATATATAAACATAAAATTAGAATTTATATTTTAAAATTAAGAAATATTTAGTTATTTCAAACACAAACAAATAAGCAAATAAAATAATAAAATTTTGAATTTTGTAGTAATTCAACATGATCAAATTTGTTCATTATAACTATTTAAGTTTATTTAAATAAATAAATAAAACTAAATTATAACTAAAAATAATTTACATCAAGATTTAATTGTGATATATTTTAACATTTTTCCAAAGCTTTTGTAATGCTCATGGCTCCTTCAGCTCCTATCAAATTAAACCTATATATATGATTTTTGAGCAATTTTAATAATTCTATTAAATATGAATAATAATGATAGAATGTTATCAGTATTTAAGAAGGTTAATTAATAATAAAATTACTATAAATTAAGATATAATTATCGAATATTTTAGCATTTTTCTAAAACACTTGCAATACTTTTAGCTCCTTCAACATCAATTTAATTTTCACTAATAAAATATTATTTGGATAAAAAACATTAGCCAAAGTAAAAATAATTATATATAAAGACATAGTTTAATAAAATTTATAGTTTATTTAGCAATTTATAATATTAAATCAATATTAATTTAGAAAATTACCATAAATTAAGAACCAAATTTATAATGTTTTGATTATTTTTTAAAACATTAGCAATACTCTTCGTTCCTTCAACACCAATTTAATTTTTTCTTATAAAATAAAAAAAATTTAAAATTTAAATAAAAAAAATTTCTTATGAAGTAAAAAAGTATTTTAAATCTTCAAAAAGAAAAAAATAATTTCCTTACCCAATATTAAGACTTAAATAAATAATGCTTTGGCATTTTTCTAAAGCTAATGCTATGCTCTAAGCACCATTTACTCCAATATTGTTGCTTCTAAAATTTCATTTAATTTGAAATATTGAAAATAATTATTTTTGTTATAAAATAGTACACTATATTTAGGTTTAAATCTGTAATATTTTTATACTATTCTAAAGTTCGTGCTATGCAATTAGCTCCTTCAGCACCAATTTAATTTTGTCTGGAAGTACATTTATTATTCAAAAGTAATAAATCAAATTAAAAGATAAAATTTAAAGGCAGATAAAATGATGTTTAAATATTAAACAAATAAAAAGCATTTTAATTCTTTAATAAAAATTACCCAATATTAAAATTTAAAACTGATATATTTTGACACTTTTCTAAAGCTAATGCAATACTCTTAGCTCCTTAAATACCAATAGAGTTATTACTAATTATATTAATAATCAATATTTTAAATTTATTACAAAAAAAAATAATGAAATTTAAATAAATAAATAAAGTAAATTTTCAAAATTAAAAATTAAAAAATGACTTACTATAAATTAAGATTCAAATTAGTAAAATTTTAGTGAATTTCTAAAGCATCAGCAATACTTTTAGCCCCTTCAAAATAAATATCATTCCAGCTAATTAAAAAAATAAATTAAATTAACTTAGTATCAATTTTTATTATTTGTAAAACACAAAAAAAATTATTGTTCTAATTTACTAAATTCAAATAATTATTTATCATTTCAAAAAAATTTGAATAACTTATTTTGACACAATTTATATAAGAAAACTCATCAAAAATAAATAAATAAAATTGTGTTTTACTAAATTATTTTTTAAATATAAATTAAATATATTTTATTTTAAAATTCAAATGTGCTAATTTTTTTGTTTTTAACAATTGAAATATGTAATTCTTTATCAATTTAATTTTAATTAAGTTTAAAGATAAAAAGAAACTAAATCTAGTCTAAAATTTTATATTACATTAAAATAATGTAGATTAAGGTTAATCAGTTTAGATTAATAAAATATGTGTAGCTTTAAATTAATATTTGTTACCTTAAATTAAGATTTAAGTCAGTTATATTTTTAAGCTTTTGTAAAGCTAGAGCAGTACTTTTAGCCCCTTCAATACCAATAGAATTTTTACTAATTAGGCAAAATAATTAAATAAAAGAAAATAAATATAAATAATAAATTAGATTTAATAGGAAATATTAATTACTAAATTATTATAAAATTTAATTTAGATATAATTTAAAATAATTACCATAAATTGAGATTTAAATTACTAATATTTTAGCAATTTTCTAAGGCAAGTGCAATACTCTTAACTCCTTCAGCACCAATAGAGTTCTTGCTAATTTATTATCAAAATCAATTATTTAAAAATATTAATTAAAACTGCAAAATATAAATTTAATAACTTATGAATATTAAATTAAAATATTTTGTAGATTTCAGTTAGTATTAAAAAATAAAATTGAATTAATATTTAAAAATTAATTTACTATAAATTAAGACTTAAATCAGTAATTTTCTCACACTTTTAAAAGATTTTTGAGATGCTTTTAGCTCCTTCTGTACCAATAGAGTTTTCACTAATTTGAAATTAAAAAATTTTAAATTCTTGAATAATTAATATACGAGAGAGAAAATATAATCTATAAAATATCTTAGTTTCTTATTTCTTTTGAAAAAACACAAAAATAAATTTTAAGAAAATACCCAATGCTAAGACTAAACTGAGTAACATTTTGGTACATTTCTAAAGCAGCAGCTAAACTCTTAGTTCCTTCAACGCCTATTTAACTGTATCTAATAAAATATGTAATAAAATTGCAATAAATATTAATGATTTGTTTTTTTTATACAAAATTTTTATCAAAAAATATAATTTTAATATTTTTAAAAATTACGCTAAGTTAAGACTCAAAAAATCAAGTTTATAACATTTTTATAAAGAGCATGCTAAAACTTAAGCTCCTTCTAAGCCAATTGAATTTTCACTAAAAAAACGATATTTATATTTATTTTGAGTATAAAATAAAATAATATTTCATATTCAAAATAAAAAAATATGCTAAACTAAATAAATAAATACGATAAATCAAGATTCAACTTTAAAATATTTTAGCACTTTTATAAAGCACTAGCAATAGCTTTAGCACCATAAACAAGAATTGAATTCCAGCTAATTATTTTTAAAGATATAAAATAATTTAAAATATGAATTATAATGATTAAAATCTAATTTAATTTTTTTAAAAATATCCAAAAATTTAGTTTTTTTAATTAATACTGAATAATAAATATTTATTTAAATTTATTCTTAATAAAAATGACCATAAATTGAGACTTAAATCTTAAATGTTTGAGGATTTCACTAATAAAGTAGCTATGCTATTCGCTCCTTCATAACCAATTGAATTACTACTGTTGAAATAAAACAATAAAATTTCTAGGGATAAAAAAATTTTAATAAAAACAAATAAATTTTTTATTATTTAAATAAGCAGGAACAAAACTTAATTTTAAAAAAATTACTATAAGTTAAGATTCAATTTAGTTAAAGCTCGACATTATTACAAAGCATTTGATAAATTTTTAGCTCCTTCTGTGCCTATTGAATTCCTACTAAAATAATTTTTAAAAGAAAATAAATTTATTTTTTGATTAAAAATTAGAAAAGTTTAAAATAAAAAAATTAGAAAAAGTTTAAATTAAAAAAAGTACTATAAATTTAGGTTGAGATGTGTAATTTTAAGGCATTTTTCTAAACTGCTTGATATTGATTTAGCTCCTTCAAATCCAATTAAATTTTCTCTAATAAATAAATATATTATTATTTTATCAAAAAAGCTAAAAAACTTTGAAATCAATTTTTTTATAGGATTTTTGCTATCAAAGCTATTTTTTGTAAAATATAAAATTACCCTAAGTTAATCGCTAAATTTGTAATATTTTGACATTTTTCTATTGCAGTAGCAATATTTTTAGCACCCTCAGCATTAATTGAATTACTTCTAATTAATTATAAATTATTTTATTTTATTTTTAAATAACATTTTAAAAAAAGTAAAGAAAATTGATTAAAAAAATAAATATATTTGATAAAATATTTACTCTAACTGAATTTTTAACTTCACTATGTTTAAGCATTATTATATTACATTTGAAATCGCTATTGCTCCTTAGTTTCCGATTTGATTTTAACTTAAAGTTTTTAAATATTATTTTCAAAAATGAGAGTTGAAATAAATAATTTGTTGATTAATATTTATAAAACTAAAGATGTTTTGCAAAATAATAAATAATATGAATTTTTTTACTTAAAACTAAGACTCAAATATGTTATGTTATTACAGTTTTTAATTCCATTTACGATTTTCTCTGCTCCCTCAGAATTAATACGATTTTTTCTTTTAGAAATAGAAAATAAATGAATATGTAAAAAATAAAAATTTCATGATACTCTAATGCTATCTTTAACTAACAAATATTTTAGAATTATTCTAATGCATTCGAAATAATCGTGGCTCCTTGATTGCAAATATTATTATCACTATTAAAAATAATACAAAAAAATTAAAATATAAATTAATTTAAATAAAAAAAATTTTTTCAAACAAATTTGATAATTATTAAAAAATTAATTGATTTTTAAAATTTTAATTAAAAAATAAATTCTAAGTAATATTATTTATTAATACTTAAAGTTAAGATTTAAATGTGTAATTCTATTCTAATTTTTTATTGCTTTGACTATGTTCTCAGCTCCATCAGAATCGATGCAATTTTTTCTATGTTGAGTTTAAATAAAATTTTATTAATTACAAATAGTATTAATAAATATCTTATTATACTCTAACTAAAGTTTAAGTTAATTAAGTTTTAAACAATTAGGTAAAACATTTGAAATATAGTTAGCCCCTTGATTTCTTATACTATTTTCACTAAAGAAATATTTTCTAAAATACCATTTTGATATTAATAATTATTTACTTCAAATTTATGGCCAAATTAGATAGGTTTACACATTTAGAAATCACATTTGCAACAGATATAGCTCCATCTGTCTTAATACAATTTGAACTAATTTAATAAGTTTTTATATTGTAAAATATTTATTTTATAAAAACTATATTAAAAATGTGGTAAAAACTAATAAGATAATATTAATACCTCAAATCAAGTTCTAATTTCTCTAAATTTTAATGAATTTCAAGAGATTTCCCAATTTCTCTCAATTATAAATCATTAATATTGTTAGCTCTATTGAAAAAATTATAAAATATTTACAAATTTAGAATTAAATAACAAAATCACTTAATTTCTTTTATTAATTATAAATATATATTTTTACTTTAAAAAAAGTTTCAAATCTTTTAGGTCGTTTAGATTTTTTATGGCACTTGAAATTTATTAAATTCCTTCACTTGATATTTAACTTTTCCTTTTTTATAATTGATTAAATTGTAGAATTTTTAAGAAAGATATAATTAAAATAAAAAAGAAATCTATATAGTTTCTAATCAACTATTTAATAATTAATTATGATTTTTGAGTTAGCTTAATAAAAAATATTCTTAATCTATTTTTTTAAATACTAAATAATTGTCTAAATTCCTTTAATTACATATTAATTAGTTTATTATTATATATCCAAAATTAGAAAGAAATTTTACAAAATTATTTTGTTTTAATTTTTGTTCTTACTTATCATTTAATAATTATTAAAATTTTACTGTTGAGAATCATTCGTTTTAAGAATAAGTTGATAGAGTTTAAATATTAACTTTATAGAATAATTTAAAAATAAAACATTTAAAATTACTTAAAGTCAATTTCTACATTTTTGAAGTTTTTACAGTTTTCAAAGTCACTAATTTTAGTCACCTTAACAATATCTGTTTCAAATTGTGTAATTATTTGTTAATTAGCTTCATTTATTTCTTATATGCTATTTAATCTTGATTAATTAACAATTTCATTAACCTAATTTACATTTGGCAAAATTGCTTGTTGTATACTTTAAACATTTTAAATATCCTGATTTGAATTTATACTTTTTATTATATCTATAATACTTTGTTTGATTTGTTTATAAGGAGATAAATCTACTTTAAATTGACTTTAGATATTAATTAGATCTAATAATTTGGTATAATTTCTCTCTTAATTTAATTTATTCTCTCTTATAATTTCTTTAAGCATTCTATCTTGCTAATCTAAATCTTTGTAATGATTTAAAATAATATCTTTAAGTTTTTCCTTTTGAGATATAGTATTATACTCTTGCAAAACATTGATATTTTCTTCTGATTTTTATTCAACATCTTTTAATATTTCACTCTCTTTTTGTTCTAAAAGCATCATTATATGGGATTTAAAATCCTTGAAAAAGATCTTTACTTTTTTTAAATTTTCTTCCAAAAAATTCTCTCTTAAAGAAATTTCTAAAAGACTCTCGTAAATTTAAGAATCATCAAAAATAGGCCAGCTTTTAAAAATGGTTTTATCATTACTATCAATAATATGTTCAAGAGGTAAATATAGTTTTCTCTATTATTACTAACATACACAAAAAACACACTCAAGCTAGTGTTACTCCTACTCTTCATCTATCCTTACCATTATTAGCTATTTTTTTTTATGAATAGAGCATTTTTTATAGTTTTCTATTAAGAATTAATCAGTTTAAGAAACGTTAGATTTACATTAATCTATTTCAATCATTTTCTTTTTATTTTTTACTATTTTAAATAATTAAAAAATTTTCACAATCTCCTAACTAATAAGTCTTTATTAAATTACTATGAAAAAAAAGCTTTAATAAATTAATTAATATTTATGTTTTATTTTATTAGCTTTTTTTAATCATACATTTAAATTTTTCTAAATAAATCATAAATAAAAAATCTTGAAAAAAGATTTTTTTGTTTTAAATTTTTATAATTAATTATTAAAATTAATAAAATGAGTTTCATCTAAAAAAAATTTTGTAAAAAATATTATAAATCCTCATTAAAAATAAATGAAGTTAGTAAATTAAATATCATTCAAATAATTCTTAGTTTTTAATAAAATAAAATTACTGAAAATTTACCATAAAAGAAGAAATTAATTATGAATTTTAGTCAAAACACCTACAGAATTTAATAGAAAGAAAACTTTTATAATAAATAAAAATACATGAGATAAAAATAAGATTAAATAAAATTTGTAAACAAATTTCATTAAAAAGTGAATTTTAATTTCAAGAAAATAAATAAATTATTTAACTAATAAAGTAAGTAATAATATAAATTGAGATGTCCTACGCTAACGCCTTTTTCTCTTTAGAGGAAGTGAGCAATATTTTTGATTTAATAACATATTAAAGAATCTTTATTTAAACTTAAAAGTTTCTATAATCTAACTTAGATGGTCTAAAAAACTTACAGTTACTTGTTGGGTAGTTTTAATATCTACTTAATTAATAATATATATATTTTTTGATGATAATTTATAAACTTGAAATAAATAAATAAATAAATAAATAAATAAATAAATAAATAAATGAATAAAGATATCAAGGTTTTGATGAGACTCAAATTTCTCATTTAGCTTCTGCTTTAAATTAATGCTCATAAATAGAAAATCTCGAGCTTGATTTAGCGTATAAATATAACTATCTTTTTTATATAGAATAAATATTTTTTAAATACAGCTAGAATGGAATAAACGAAGAAGGTATAACAAATATATGTTAATCATTATCCAAAATGACTGAATTAAAATCTTTAAATCTCAATTTTACGTAATTATTTTAAAATAAAGTGATTATTTTAAATATTTTGTATGAATTTTTAAAACCATAGAATTTTCTCAAAATTGAAAATATTTAAAATTATACTTTTTAAAAAGAAACAACTCTATTGACTAAAAGAAAGCGAGCATAATCAGTTCTATTTGGACTAACTACAAGAATCTTTAAAGCTTATCAATTGATTTAGAGTATGAATACATATATGCATTTTAATTGATTAAAAATAAAAATATTTCATTATTATAATTTAATATTTTACACATTCAAAATATAAAACTTATTTTTTGAAAATAGACTTGATTTATAAGATGAAGAATGTCTCAATATCTAAATTTCTAAAATAGAGCAATGTTAATAAATATAGAAATTATCACTAAAGTTTTGGTAATAAGATGAGTAAATAAAAATATTTATTTATTATTAACAATTTAAAAAATATTCTTAAATTGTATTTTCAAAACAAAAATAATTTAATAACAAATATAGAAGTAAAGACTAGATAAAAGAACATGAATTATAAAGTTTAAGTTCTTTAATAGCTAATCTTAAAAATCTTACCAATTTGGAAGTCAGCTTTAAGTAACTTTCTTTTATTTTAAAACATTTAATTTCTAAAAAATATAAAAATACATATTTTAAAATAAAAGCTTTATTCAAGTGAATATAGAAATAATAAATCTATTAGCAACTGCACTTACCTAATCTAAGATTCTATCTTCTTTGAAAATTGACCTTTAGTAGATTATATTTTATATTAATAAATATAGCATACCTTAAATTCTAATTAAAAATTGCTAAAATTTTTATTAAAAAAATAAAATATCATGAATATATTTTCAATAACTTTTGCCCTCACCCTGAGCTTAAAATATTTTAACTTATAAAAATTACAGTCTATATAATTTTGAGTTAATAATACGTAAAAAATTATATTTATAAAAGAGATACTAAAATTTAAGATTAAGATATCACTGAGCTTACAAATAGTTTGCCTTAATTAAAGAATCTTAAAAAGTTATCACTTGGTATCAGGTAAATTTGATTTGTCTTTCACTAAAGATAAAGATTTTAAGGACTAACAAATTTACAATCATTTATTAAAAAAGATAAACTTAAATTAGCTCATAAGGTGTAAGGAAATTGTTTTAATCTCTTTAAAAGTGCATTAATCTCAATAATTTTGAATTCGATATGAGGTAGATTAGATAATTTTCAAAAAAAATTATGGAAAATTTCAATCAAATTATTTCTATAATAAAAGCTATATATAAATGTTAGATAATAATTAATCTTAAGAACCTTGCTTATTTTTAGATTTGGGTTAGTGCATAAATTTAAAAAGCTTAACTTTGTTTAATAAGTAAATATTTGAATTAAAGTTTAGCCACAGTATAAAATTTTAATGAAACAATTTAATTAGCGGAAATTATTATTCTGATGGTTAGGTGTCTGGTTTGGGAACATGCTTTTCTAGCTTAAAAAATCTTACCAATTTATATCTTAACTTAGGGTAATATTCATTCTAAAATATATTTTTATCTGATTAAATTTTTTTAATAACTAAAACATAATTTTAAAAATAGAGATTGTAATATTTGTAAAGTTGGTATCAAAAATTTATCATAGTATTTCGGGAGCTGCAATAATCTTGAGAGTTTGCTAATAGAATTATCGTATTTAATTAATTATTGATAATAAAATTATTATTTCTTTTATAAGAGATAATAATATAGGCGATGAAGGGATAATTGAATTAGTTAATGAATTAAAAAATTCTGTAAATCTTAAAAACCTTTAACTCTATTTAAGGTACATCATTTTTATTTTTTGAATTAAAATTTCATCAAAAACATTGTTTTATTTAATCTTTTTCCATTAAATTAATGATAATTATATTCTTTTATATTAAAAGAGGATGTATTCAATCAAAAGGTGTTATAAATCTAGGTTAAAGTTTACAGCAATTCAAGAATCTATCAAATCTAGAATTAGATTTATCGTAGAATATTTAAAGCCATATTTGATTGATTATTAAATAATTTATTTTTTTAAATATTTAAATATTTTTTAATAAGTTAGCTGCCTACCCTTAATTTAAGATAACAAATTAATGTTTTAAATTTAAATTTAGGTATAACTAAATTCAAGACGAAGGTATCACTTAGCTTTTTAATGACTTGTCTAGATCTTAATAATTATCTAGATTAGATTTTAGTGCATGGTAATCTTAAAATCAAATTAAATAAATTAATTATTTACAATAAAATAGTTTGGAATTTATTTTAAAATCTATATTAAACATAAAAATGAATTATATATTTATTTGTGAAGAATATTTATTAGATTATAAATGCTTTAAAAAATATTATTTATTATAAAGGGATTGTGGTATCACAGAAGAAGGAGCGAATAATATAATTTTAGCTTTGAGAAATAATTTTTCTATTAAGGATTTAAAACTAGAATTAAGGTTATAAGATTTTAATTTTTATATTTAATATTTGTTTTAAAATCCTAATTAAATAAAGATTATATTTATTTTTAAATTTAGCGGAAATGGCTTCAATTTCGAGTTTTTCACAAAGTTATCAGCAAGAGTTAGAAAGATAAAGTAATTAGTAAAATTGAATTTTAGGATAGAGTGCTATTGATTTAATTCATAACTTGAAATATAAAAGTTAATATGAAAAATGAAAAATATTTCTATTGTTATTTTGTTTATTTTTTATTTATCTTTGTCTGTCAATTTATATTTAAATCTAACTAATATGAATACTTTAATATCTTGATTATCAACTTTATAAAAATATAATATTCTTTTTAATTAAAATTAATAACTCCTCGATTTTTATCATTAATTACTATTATAATCAACTAAAAAATAATTAAGGCTTTACATTATATCTAACATAAAACCATTAATTTTTAATAAATTATTTTAATTAAATTTATTACTTTTTGATGAATTAATTTTCATCAACTGTATAAATTAAAAAATTATGTATAAATTTATTAGATCTAGGCACACGTTATATCATGAAATTTATTTTATTTACATTTCTATTAAATATCCTTAAAAAAATAAATTTTACATTTTACTAATATAAAAGGTAAATGTTTGGTTATGGACAATAGCTATTTATTTTTAATAAATTTATGATGTAATAGGCATAATTATTACAAGCTAAAATAATAAATGTATTTTGAATCCTTATGTATTTATATTATTTGTATGTCTTTTATTACTTTATTTCAAAGATTTACTTAGGGGTAAGTAAATAAAAAATGTGTGGGGATATGTTTTTTAATTACTTTAATTTTTGCTTGTAAAATATTGTAAGGTAAATTTTAATTTATGCTTTCTTAGATGATCTATCAAAAGTAACTTTGGATAGTTGTCTATCTTTATTTATCTATAATTCAATTAATAAATTTTAAGCAGGCTCTGAGTTTCTTTATTTTATAAATCTATTAAGAAAAACCTTTAATATTATGAAAAAAATTATAATATTATCTATCTTATGTTTTGACAAAATAAAGTGCGCAATATTTAATTAAATTATAAAAGATTTGACTTTTATGAGAAAAGATATCATCTAATTTACTCTATTAAGTTACGCTGCTTTAAAAATAATCTTTTTGTGCACTTTTTTACTTAAAATATAAATCTTATAGTTCTGCTATTTAAAATTATTTTTTAATTATATTTTTTTAGGATTTATCTCATTTTATTTGAAAAATAATATCATGAATTCTTCATTTTTTAATTTATCTAACTAACTATCCTTTTTCTAGAAGTAAATAAAATGAACTAGCTTAATTAAAGTTCTAGTGGTTGATCAATAGTTCGATATGAATAATATTATATAAATAAATTAGATATTATTAATTTCAATTGATATAAGAAACTCGAATCATTAAATTAAATTCAATCAAATGAAAAATAAGTTCAGCTTTTTTATATTTTGCTTTACTATTTTAACATTCTCTTAAAAGATTGTTTGTGATTTTATATACAAACAATCTGATAGAATGGATATTTAATATCTGCAAATAGTAGATTCAACATGCACATAAGCCTCAAAAACTGTCACTTTTAAGACCTAGTTTCTAAATGTGCCAAAAATAACTTACAATTTACTTAAGATTAAAACAAATATAGAGTACACTATTGGTTTTGAAGTAAACACTATTTCTGTTTCTAATACTTAACTTTAGGTTGAGATAAAAGCCAAGCCAGGACATACTCTCTATAATATAAGGATAGGGATTTTGGCTACAGATTTTCCAAATTCAGTTTAGTTTTAAGGAACGTTTAATAAAGAAGGAAGCTAGACCTTTACAGCACCAGGAAAAATAGTTGGGTACTGCGCATTTGTATATGCTTATGTAGGTGATATAGCATTTGCTATTATTTAATTCAAATTCTCTTCATAAGTGAATGGTTAATAGCTTTAATTATATTATGATGAGACACTAGGAGGTAATATGAAATCCATAGATTTTAATGCTTTGGCTATTTACGAAACAAACTAGCCTTGGTTTTAATTATACTCATTTAAATTTACAACAAGTTCAGAATTTTCCTTGAGCAGTTTCGTTGATGATAAATCTTATTCACAAAACACGTAGCTATCTGAATAAGATCAGATTTTTTATGGAATGGGTTATTGGAATGATCATAGTAATTTTGAATATAACTTTGAAGTTAACTAATCAAATTCTTAATAAATAATCACCAACTCAAAAATCAATTTAAAAATTTATAACCATAAAGGTTATATTAGCTGGTTAACTATTTCCGTATTTGAGCTAATGATTAGGTATTGTCCTCCTAGTAACTTTATCATCAAAGTGGGAAGCGATTATTAATGTGTCAGTGATTGCTCAGCAGTTGATATATCAACCTACAACGATTCTATCAATAATTTTCCTTTAGATTACAGTACCTATAAGATGAACTCTTGTTCTCCATGTCACTCCTCTTGCTATAGTTGCTCTGGACCTCAAAACACAAATTGCAATAGTTGCCATTCAAATTAGTATTATGATGAGACAAATAATGTTTGTTTAGATAATTAACCAAACCAAACATTTTGCTAGCAGGTGAATAAGAATTCTTAAAGCTATTAAAGTTGCTAGCCATGTAATCAAACATGCAAAACTTGTTCAGGTGGAGGCATCAATTAATGCATTACTTGCTCAGAAAACTACCCTTATTCTTATAACAGATTATGTGTTAATGATTAGTAAGTTGGAGTTTTTTGTGATAATGTCACTAAAACTTGCAAAGATTGCTTAATTAGCAATTGCAAAAAATGTGACTCAACTCTCTAATAATGCCTACTATGTATAGATACATGGTATTTGTTTAACAATACTTGCTATAACTCAAAATAAGACCACACATATTGCGATAATAACAATATCTGCTAATTATGTGATCAATCTAAGTGTGTAAATTGTATTGATTCTTTAGATAAATGTACTTAATGTTAAAATGGATAATACCTGCTTGAAAATGTTTGCTATTCTAGCTAATAACAGTACACTTTCTGTAATTATAATTAAATTTTGATTTAATATGATTGTGTTAGGTGCAGTTAAAACTGTTCTAAATGCTCAGGCCAGTAAAGCAATTAATGTAGTGAATGTTTAGCAGGAAAGTACTTTAATAATAATTAATGCTTCGATAATTAATAAACTGGTACTTACTGTGATTCTAATTTAATTTGCTATCCTTGTGACAAAAGTTGCTAGGAATGTACAGCTGGAATGGATAATAATTGTACTTCTTGCTTTAAAAACCAATACTTATACCAGAATACTTGTTCATCTACAAAATAATCTGGTACATATTGTGATTAAAATTTAGTTTGCAAAGATTGTGATTTGAAAAAATGTGTAACTTGTGTTGATGCTCCAGACAAATGTACATCTTGCCAAAATGATTAATATTTATTTAATGGAGTTTGCTATAACAATTAACCTGATAAAACTTTCTGCTTAGACCTGTAAAATAACGAAATTTTTAAAAGATGCTCTGCTTGTTTTTAGTCTTGTGCAAATTGTAGTGGCGATTAACCTAATCAATACGATACTTGCATTTCTGGGTATTTCTTTTATTAAAATCAGTGCTTTCAAGTAAAACCTCCTTCAACTTATTGTGATTAAAATAATATTTGCTAAAAATGTCATGATGAATGTAAAGAATGTTTAGGTCCTTACAAAAATTAATGTACCTCTTGTTTAAGTCAGCAGTTCTTATATAAATCCTAATGCTTTAATCAATAACCTGGTTTTACTTACTGTGATTAAGATTTTATTTGCTTTGATTGTGATTCCAAAAAATGCTTAACTTGCTAGAACTCTTCTGACTTTTGTTTGTCTTGCTAAGCTCAGCAATATTTTTTTAACAACAAATGCTATAATTAAAATCCAAATGGTGCATTTTGTAAAAATGTTAGCAATTTAAATTATCAAACATGCGAAAAATGCTCTGAGAATTGCAAATTTTGTACTGGCCCTGATCCATAATAATGCTAAGAATGTAATGATTAAATATATTTCTATAAAAATACTTGTTCATTAATCTAACCTAAGCAAACTTACTGTGAAAATTTTATTTGCCATGAATGTGATGCCTCTTGCAAATCATGTACAGGTCCTACAAGTACACAATGTTCAGAATGCTATGATGGATATTACCTAAATCAGAGCAAATAAGAAAATACTTGTTAAGTCTGCTAAAAAGGCTGTAGTCTTTGTTAAAATTTTTTTGATAACTGCAGCAGCTGCCAAAATCCTTACTATCTGAAAGAAAACAAATGCTTGCTGGACTGTAAAAGAAATGAATACTTTGATTTGTAAGAAAGAATATGCTCTTCTTGTAGTGAGTATTGCTAGACATGTTCTGATAAAACTATTAAAGGCTGCTTGAGCTGTATAGATTCTGCAAATCTAAATTCAAATAATTAATGCATATGCTCTTAACAGGGTTTTGGGCTCTCGTCTGATGGTACTTAGTGTTTACCATGCCAAACTTCTAGATGCAAGTCTTGTGAACATAGCAATAAATGTGATATTTGTATTGAAAATGCCTATTTAAATGTTGAGTCTAATGGAGAAGAAAAATGTATTTGTAAGGAAGGTTATTTTTATTCTTAATCATATTAAAAATGCTAAAAATGCCCCTAGAAAAATTGTAAAGCTTGTTCTGATGATGGGAAAAGCTGCTTGAAATGCCTAGATGGTTTTCATTACAATAAAGGATATTGTCAGTTTTGCAGCAACTATAAATTTGCTAATGAGAAAAATGAATGCGAAATGGATTGCCCAAATTTATGCTAGGCTTGCTCAAATTAATCAGAATGCAGTATGTATCTAATTAACGAACCGAATTACTTTCCAAAAGAGCTTTGTCATTTTAGTTGTAAGGAATGCAGTAGCTCTAAAGATACGGCCTGTTTATTGTGTTCTTCATAAACTAGAGAATATAATTTGCAAACATAGAAATGTGAATGTAAGCAGAATTATATAGAGAATGGTTAGTAAGATTGTAAAAAGATACAACAAGTAGACAGCTTACTAGTAGAAGTTCACTAGAAGTTAAATATAATATCGTTTCCTGTACAAACGCTAGGTCTTTTCTTAATTAATATCCCATCTGTTATGTACTAGTACTAAATTTAATAGTTAATTGGAGATCTTTCCTTCATAAATCATACCGATTATCAATAAAACTCTATAAATAATGTTTTAAAGCTCTACACAAAATATAATTCCTTTGAGATTTTTAACAAAAAGGAAAGCTAAGACTCTACCAGCAATCCAACTCTTAGAGTATCTAGAATTCTTAGTTCAGATTAAAATACATAAATTTTACAAAACAAAGATACATTTTTGGCAGTTGAACTTTAGGAAAGTTTTTTCTAAGCCAGCTTTATTCCTCTTAGTGCTTTAGCTTTATTTTTAATTATATGTGCTTGCTTGCACTTATATGAACTAAAGACTCAAATTATATTGAAATACACCTATCTTTTTAAATGGAATATCTTCATTCTATTGTTTGTAATCACATCAAATTTTCTGATTATCTCCTTATTTAATTTAAGTTTCTAAAAATAACAACTCATTGATTTTGTATTTTTAGGATTATTTGGAGTATTTTATACAATTTTTTTGGTATGGATAACATATAAGTGTAAAAAAGCAGAATAATAAGACTAATCATACTAGATATTAAAATCTTCATTAGATACGACAAGCTTTATAGGAAGATATTACTTTTTACTAATTGAAGTAAAAAAAATTGTATTTTGTTCAATCATTTCTCTTGCTTTTAACTATGTTAAGTTTTCTGTTTGGGCAATTGTTTTTATTCTTATTTTAGAAATTTTAGTAAAAAAATGGGTGAACCCATTCAGCGACAAGATTAGTTTATATTTTACCCTGCTAACTGATATATTATTTGCTGTTTTAATTATCCTCTACGGAGTATTTTTAAATTCAAAAGATGAACAGTAACTCGTTTTAATAGCAACTTTAGTCCTGATTTTTCTAATGATCTTTACAATCTGTTCATTATGCTTTGTAGCTTTTTTGGTCATAAAGCTTATAAAAAATAAAAAAAATACAATCAAAGAAAAGTTAGATTTAAGTTACTACACATCTACAACTCGTAGATCAATTTCTCAAAGCTTTAATCTTGAAATGAAAAATATAACCACACGTGTTAAATGGCAAAAAAATCCTATTCAAAACATAAATAATTGAAGCTAATTAATTAATAAATACATTTTAAATAAAAAAAATGAATAATTATATTTTTGTTTATTTACTATTTCATTATTTTTTAATAGTTATGTTCAATTTTTAATTAAAGGCTTTCAGAATTTATATAAGATAAATATTTTCATGAATTTTTGTATTTTTATAATATAAAATAATTATATTTTTACCAAAATTTTATATTCAATAAAAATATTTTATATTTAAAAAATAGTATCTTAATTCAAATCTATCTATTAAAATTTCAAAATTTGCTCTCCCTTTGTAATGCTTTTAATTAAGATAATATTATAAATAGATACATAATTTTTATTTTAAGAATAAATAAATTGATAATTTAGTTATCTAATTTACTACCTTCTTAGTTTTAATACTACTGTAATAGAATTTTTATATCTAATTAACAAAAGATTATTAATTCTAAACAAAATAAAAAGAAATGGTTAATTAACAAAATTTATTTTATATTTATTTTACATAATTAATTATCAGTTATTTTAATTCTTAACAATTATTATTTAAATGTTATTGATGAAAAACTGTTTAAAATAGCTCTTTACTAAAACCTATAAAATAAAAATAGTAATAAAAATATCTAATTTGGGAAAGCTAATTAACAAAAATATTCAAATATAAATCCACAAAAGATAAAGATCAAAATATTTATTGACAATTTTAATGTGAATATACATTTATATCTAAATAATAAAAATTTTTATTAACTTTGTGGCTATAACTTAGATTTTTTAACAAATGATAGCTCTGTAACAAAAAGTAATAAACTATAACATAAATAGTCCTTTTGATAAAGAATTAAATACTTGCTTATGTAGATTATCTACTCTATCAAATTCTTATTTAATAAGTATCTAAATTGATTATTTACCTTTTATTTATTTTATATCTTTTAATTTTATATTTTACTTGCCAAATTTCTTTTTTTTGTATAACTATTTTTGTAGAATCTTAGTAAGCAAATTATCATTTTTTAAGTTTGAAAAGTGTAAATTAAAATATTCACCATTTTTTTGAATTTAAAAATCTTAATTTAAAACATAAAATAGATTTTATTAATTTTAATATTTTATTTACATTTAAATTAGAACATTTTTAGATTATAGAAAGAGAAAGAGAGAAACACTTAATAATTTGTTTTTTTCGATTAATTATTTGATTTATTTGGCTATTATCATTAAAGATATTTTCTATTTTTACTTTGAAACCCTAAGATAATAGGGAATAATTTAAATTTTCCTTTTACTAAAGAATGGAAATTAAATTATTTAAGGTTTTTAAATACCAGAATATTTTTAAGGAATTGGTATTTAGAGTATAATTTTAGCTAATATTTTCAGATTAAGTTTTGGAAAAAAGACATTTTAATAGAGCGCATAATTATTTGTACAAAATAAATAATTGTAAGCTAAATTTTTAAATTTGCAATTGGAAAGAAAGATAAATTTATTTCAAAAAAAGATTTACTTTTGAGCTTAATTTAGAATTTATCAGATTTATCTTTAAATATCTTTAACCATAAAGGGTTAATTTTTAGTAAATAAAGTAGAAATTTATACTGAAATATAAACAGATATATATGTTTTACTTTTTCGTTACATTCATAATTCTATTTTATTTTATAGGAAGGTTTTTTATGGTATTAGTGGAATAAAAATCATCATTTATTCTTAATTTTTAATTTATATAAATAAAGCAATATTTTAATAAAGATTGGATACATTTATGCATTACAGATTACATTTAAATTTATGTCTACTAAAAATTTATTAGGACTTTTGTTGAAAATGTAAAATATTTTTTACATGTTATAATTTTAGTTAGTTATTGCATGCCAATACGTGCTACCATTAACTTAAATCCAAATTAAAAACAATGAATGAATTTATAAGTTTTGTTTGGTATCTATAAAGGTTATTAAATTAAATCTTTGAGCTCAGATGAACAATAAATCTTAAAGTAATAGGATTCTGCCTAATTGTTTTTGTTTATTATATTATTAATACCCCAATAATATTATTAAGAAAGACAAATTTTAAATAAATAAGATGCAATCTATTTAAAATTTAGATATATTATGATGCCAAAAAAAAATAAGTGATTAATAATAATAATTAGCAGGTGTAACATAAAAGGATCAGAAACTAATATTTGATTTGTAATTTACATTCTTTATCTTCATGAAGAGAGGAATATAATATAAAGGAAAAATTTAAAAGATAATTATAATACTGTAAATCCTTGTTAATTAATTGCCGAAAATATTAAGGGCAGACATTTTAATTTTATTTGTGAGAATTTACAATATTGTTGGCAAAATATTTTGAAGAAAAATAGAATTTTAAAAATAAAATATAATTTAATGTAGTGTTTTTTACAAAATTTAAAAATTATTTTATAAATTTTTGAATCCAATATTGACATCAATAAATATTTTGATTTTGATTGTTTTAATTTACTAAGTGTTAAGAAATTAACTAATTTTTTGACCTGATTTCAATAATAATATTATATAAGATAAGATTAATAATATTAGATAATACTCCTCTCGCTAAAAAAATTAGGAAAAGCATATATATATGATATCTTTTAAATATTAACTTTCCTCACTTTACTTCCTCGTAAGCTTTCTCACCTGTTATATTAATAGCTAATTTATATACAGATAGTCCGATAGAGCATAAATCTTCTACCTTGAAATTGTTTCCTCTTCAACAACTTAGGCCTAATAAACTGTTAATTTTCTTACTCCATTTTAGAATACTCCGAAAATAACTTACAATATTCTTTAGATAAATTCAAACATAAATGGAAGTGTTGGATTTAGTTTATCCACAATATCAGTCTCTAATACTTAAGTGACTGTTAAAATTCAGGCAAATTCAGGCCACTAACTGTATAAAGTGAAAATTGGTATACTAGCGACAGATTATCCTAATTCTGTTTAATACTAAGGTACATTTGGTAGCGGAGGCTCTAAGTCATTTAGTACTCCTAATAATATTATAGGTTATTGTGCTTTTGTTTCAGGTTATAAAGGCAATATAGCTTTTGCTAATATGTAATTTAAATTTTTTTCTTCTATTTCTGCTAATGTAATCGATCTCAAATACTAAGAAACTTTATTTGCAAATATGGACTCTATAGATTTTAATATTTTATTGATATATGACGATCCTGGTTTTGATTCTCTGCTTTATTCATTTTAATTTACTAATAGCAACTAAATAAACATCCCAATATCTCCATAGTCTAAAAACTATTAATTAAGTACATAGCTTTCTAATAATGACATTGCCTTTTATGGACTCAATTATTGGTATGACGCGAGTAACATTTCATTTGATTTTGGAGTTGATTAGCAAAATCCAAATTTAATCAGTGGATCATAAATTAATATTGTTGTTAAAAGTAATACTGGATATATTCCCTGGGTTTCTATTTCTGTATTTTAGTTAATGATGAGAACTTGTCCAGCAGGAAACTTCGTTATAAAAGTAGCTAATGATTATCAATGTGTTAGTAATTGTTCTAGTGTAAATAGCCAAACATATAACGATTAATTAAATACTTTTCCATTGCAATATAATACATATATTATGTACCCATGCTCTCAATGTAACTCTGCTTGTTATGGATGTACTGGACCTAACATTAATGATTGCACAAGCTGTGCTTCCAATTAATTCTATGACTCTGTCAGCAAAACATGCTTATCTTCCTAGCCACCATAAACTGTTTGTACATAAACTATTATAGATCTTTAGACATATTAAAATTGCTAGCCCTGCTATTCTACTTGCTAAACTTGCTCTGGGACTTAAAAAAACTAATGCTTAACTTGTATGGTTACCTATCCTTATTCATATAATGGTTAATGTATTTAAGGAGTATAAGATGGCATATATTGTGACAACACAACATTTGTTTGCTAAGATTGTAATGTGACGAATTGCAAGTCTTGTGATTCAACATTGTAAATTTGCAAATAATGTATTACAGGTTATTATCTTTATAACAATATATGCTATAACTCTAAACAAAATTCAACATACTGTGATAGTAACAATATTTGTTATTCGTGTGATTTAACTAAATGTGTGAATTGCATAAATTCTGCAGATTTTTGTACCTCTTGCTAATCTAATTAATATTTGCTATCAAATACTTGCTATAACTGTGACTCTTCTAAATGTTTAACATGCTAAAACACTGCAGAAACTTGTCTTTCATGTCAGCCATAGCAATATTTATTTAATAACTCATGCTATAATACAAATCCAGATGGAGCTTATTGCTAAATAACAAACGGTTTAAATTACTATACATGCTAAAGTTGCTCTTAAAATTGCAAAGTTTGTACAGGTACAGCTTCAAATTAATGTTAGCAATGCTTCCCTTAAGCATATTTTTACTAAAATAGTTGTACATTAAGTTAACCTTTGCAAACATATTGTGACAGTCTTTTAATTTGCTAAACCTGTGACTTATCTTGTAAGTACTGCAACGGACCAAGTAGTAATGAGTGCACGTAGTGTTTTGATGGATTATACTTAAATATTAAAAATGGAATCTCAACATGCTAAATATGCTAAAAAGGCTGCAGTTTATGCTCAAACAGTTTCAGTAATTGCAGCGCTTGCTAAAATCCTTACTATTTAAATGGTAATTCTTGTTTCTTAAATTGTTTGTCAGGTAAATATTTTGACCTAAACACTAGAGACTGTGAACAATGTAACAATCAATGTTTAACTTGCTCTGATAAAACCAATATCAGTTGTACTAGCTGCATAGCAAATGCTTCTCTGAATAATAATAATTAATGTATTTGCTAAAAATAAGGATATGGATTTTCTTCTGATGGTACCCAATGTATTTCTTGCTAGCTTTCTATGTGTTAGACTTGTTAGCTTAGCTCAATATGCGATAGATGTATTTAAAATGCTACTTTAAGTACTAATAGTTTAGGTAATTAAGTATGCACTTGTAATGAAGGATACTATTACATTAAATTTTACAATAAATGCATAAAATGCCCTTAAAATCATTGCCAGTCATGTAGTAGTGATGGAATGACTTGCACTAAATGCCTTTCAGGTTTTTAACTTTAGAACGGAAACTGTAGTTACTGCAACAATAACAAATTTGCAGACAGTAATAATTAATGCTCATAAAATTGCACTGAATTATGCTAAGTTTGTTCAAACTCAAATTTATGCAGTGTCTATGACATTAATAACCCAGATTATATTCCTAATTAGCTATGCCATTTTACCTGCAAATAATGCAGTGGTTTGACAGTTAAAGATTGCCTTATATGTGCTTCCGATTCAAGATAATACAATTATGAAACTTAGTAATGTGAATGCAAATCAGGTTACATCGAAATAAATTAACCTAACTGCCAAAAGATAGAATAAGTTTAGAGCATTTTATAAAGCACTCATTAATATTTAAATATTATTGGATTTCCAGTAATTTCTTTTGGACTCATTTTAAATGTCAGTCCAGCAGTCACATACTCATATGTACTCTAGCAATTAATAGGTGATTTTGCCTTTGTAAATTATGATCAAGGATAATCCATAAATTATATTTTTAACTTTTATACAAAATACAATATTAACAATTTATATAATCTCAATAATGATAACAATAAAAATAATAACCCTAATAATAATTCAGATCCTACATTAAAGAGTCAAAGACTTCTTCTTAATAATTTAAGAGCAAATAAAAATCAAAAATCCATTTTTGATTTTTCATTTCTTGAAAGTAATAAATCAAAAAGAATTCTTTAAGATACCTAATCTAATACTGGTATATTAAACTATCATGATCCCATTTTAGAGGCAAAGTAGCAAAATAGATTTATTTATTCAAGTTTAATACCTTTATCAACAATAACTCTCTTTCTATTAATAGCTGCTATTATCCATTTCTATGAGATCTGCAAAAAAAAACTGCTAAAATTCGGAATGATTTTCAAATGGAATTTATTAATTTTAACAACTTAAATTAATTCAAATTTTTTAATTTTTTCCTTAATTAGCATTGATTTTAAATAGTAATTAATGATTGATTACATATGCATTGGATTATTTTGTTTTATGTATGTGACCTAGCTGATCTGGCTCTTCAAAATAACGAGAGGTCACTCTTATTTAGAAAAATCCTATTCAGTTATTTCTTTGTACTTTGAAAGAGAAAGCTTTTTAGGGAAATACTACTTTTTCATTTTAGAACTAAAAAAAATAATTTTCTGTGCTTTTATTATCTTGACAATAAAAATTCTTAGATTCACTATTTGGGGTCTAGTTGCTTTATTGATTGTTGAGACAATTTTTAAAAGGGTTTACAACCCTTTCAGTTATTCAATAGATTTATACTCAACACTATTTCTTGACATTACATTTTTGTTAATAATAACTATTTTTGGAGTTTTCCTAAATTCTAAAGACACAAATTAGCTCATAACTTATGTAACCTTTATCTTAATCCTCTTAATCATTTTTTCTCTAATTTCTTTGACAGTTATAATAATTAAAGTAATAATCTTGATAAGGAACTTTAAAACCAAATAAAACAAAGAAAATAAACTAGATATAAGTATTGGATCTAATCAAACATCTTGTTCAAAAAATATAAATTTACAGCTATAAGAAATTTAAGCAAGTATTAGATGGCAAAAAAATCCAATTCTCAGCTCTAGATAAAACAGTATAAATTGAAATATTATAATTATAATAATTTAATTCTCTTATTATTTTATATATTTTATATAAATATATTCTTCTTAAAAACATATTTGAAAATTAAAAAATAATTGGAGATAAAAATTGTAGTTACTATTTCCTTAATATATTGCTTATTATTTATAATTTAAGGGAAACTAAAAGCTTGAAGAATTTAATATTAAAAATTTAATTTAAATCGGGTATTATATTAAATTATTTTAAATATATTTTATTTATTATATATTAAAAATTTAAATATTAGTAAACTCCTCAAAATGCATATCGGCTCAGCCCTGATTATAATATATTTAAGATATGATTATACTTACAACAATTTTAATTTTATATACATTCCAATGAATATAATAACAAATTAATCTGGGCCCAGATTCAACCCACCCCATCATAAACTTTTTCGCTTCATTGCGAAAATTTATTGATTATTAAATTTTATCTTAACTAATATAAAAATATATAGTCAATCTATTCAAAATGTTTTTACTAGGGGTACCAATAAACATATAAGTAGAGTGCAAATTTTTTCTTCATATAAAGCTAGTTAATGCAAATTAAGTGATATATTCTGATAGAGCCAATTTTCTCTATCTTTTGACATATATTGATTGATATATCTAAATAATGTTATTAACGAATGACAAATATAAATTATGATAAAATGTATCTTTTCAAGTATTCAATTTTCATTTACTTTATATAATAAAGAAATAATTTAATTTTTATAACATCAATATTACAAAATATGCACCATTATTCTGTATTCATAATTCCATTATTTTGATTCACTCATCGAATGTTTTTCTCCATTCATCTTAAGGTATAGAATTTAGGATCGATTGAATCTAGTCAAACAAATAATCCGAATTTTCATGATTATTTAACTATCTTTTAATTAAGCTTAAAAGATGAGGAATAGATTTGTTTGATAATCGTTTAACTTGTAAAATACTTGAAAGAATACTCTAAACATTGCCATTACTAATCTTTAACTCACCGTATTTCTTCAATTGATAAATAAAGATCATATTCTATCATTAGACAAACTTTTCGAATTTTTTTTCAGTGGTCATAGTTATTGGTATACCTACTCTATCAGCATCTGAAACATTAGGCCGGTGAACTTTCTCATCCATTTAGTGACGTATGGATAACAAGGTGATTTCTAAACTAATATTTATATGATCTCATCATGAATTTATGTTGCCGTTTAACCTTGCTACTTACTATAAAGATAAAAATAAAATATAAAATCTTTTTTTTCATTTTTTTGGTTCTACTATCGAAATATCTCTTTTTGTTAATTATATTCCCTAATCCTAGCTGCTTTCTTTTTCTTATTATTTATATCAAGCGGTATAAAACTTAAATATATAATAGAAATTTTATTGACACTTGATTCAAGAAGTTTACATTTGAATAATATTAACTTTCTGATCCCCTAAGTAAATAGGAATAAAAACACTTATTTGGTGCACGAAACATATATACCTAAATAATAAGTATGTTCTTGAAAAAAAATTAATGATATATTAGAATAATAAGATATATTTTAAATATTCCCTCCCCTCATTACTTACTGGACTAAAACCAAAAAATCTACTAAATAAAAATTATTTTATTAAAATTTAAGACTTTAATTACTAGAATTTAGTTAACATATGAACTCACATCTATAAGTATTACTATATTTTTAAGGATAAGTATTAAAAAGTGATATTAAGATTTAATAATAAATGTTACACTAACTTATTTTTGATATCTCTTGCTTAATGCAAATGTATAAATTCATATTCGATAATTATTATAATTTATTAGTTCTGTTTTAACAAATTAATTTGAAATAAAAACAAATTAGTTTTTAATATAGTTATAATTTATTAAATTACCTTAAAAAACTATTCGATATTTAAAAATAATAAATCATATAATAGAAAAAATATTTAACAATCTATGAGAATTAATTATTCATTTTTTTGATATCTTTTAAATTTATATTTATTAATAAAAAAAGTTTTTAAATTCTTCACTTAAATCTAATTAGGTTCTCTCTCTATTTTGAGCTGAAAGTGAGGTAAATTTAATTTATTCATACTAATATTTTTTAATATGTAATTTTCAAGTTACTAAATATTTTATTTTACTAAAAGAAATTCTCATATATATTAATTTATTCATTTTTATGTAAACAAAAATATTCATTTAATAATATTTATTTATTTTCAATCAATTTTTATGTTGATTGTTAATTATTCATTTTTTATTATTTGATATATTTTCTTCATTTTTTTATTCTAACTCACAAACTTCTACAGTATTTAAAAATGACAAATTAATTGGATTAGTTTTTCTTTTATTTTTTCTGCTTATCAATTTTTTCTTTATTTATTTATTAATTTTTTTTTAACTTTTAATTTTTTACTTTGCATTATTTTTCTTTCTTTATTTTCTAATTTAACTAATTTATTTATTTTCATTTTCATTTTTTATTATTATTCATTAATTTCTTTTCTAGTTTTTTCTTCATTTTTTCTTTCTAACTAACAAATTATCTTTGGATTGTGATATTTTTTAAATAAAAATGAATTTAAAACAAAATAACTTACTATTTTTATTTTACATATTTTATAAAGTAATAATAGAAATTCGCTTCATAATATAAAATATCTAAAATGGCTTTTGGTATTAATTGTAAATAATTTGTTTAAAAAATTATTATTTTTATCCATTTTTCATTTTTGATTAAGTTAATAAATTTTAAATTGGAGACAGTAATTAACTTTTTTAAAGCAAAAGTTGTTTGGGAGAGGATAAATAAATAATATTATTATTTTTGAAATTAATCACCAATAGTAAGTTCTTTTAAACGCAATTCTCATCATTAAAAAACTTGAATTTAAATAAAATTTAATTATTTTTTTCCCAAATTTATGTATGTTTATAAATGATATAAATAATATCTAAATATGCAAAAACAAATAAAGTTTGTCTTTTAGCTAATTTATTATTAATTAGAGGAAAAACAAGTGTTAATTAATTTATTATCTATTTTAATTAATATCAATTTTGTAAATTTTGTGAAGCTAAAAATTTACCACAAGTTAATAAAAAACTCTGTTTTAGATTTTATTGAGTACTTTATAATTAGAACCACTGTACTTTTATCATTCAAAATTTGATAATTAATTTATTTTTCAAACAATACTAATTATTCAAAAATAAGAAGCACATGAAGTTTTTCAAAAATTAATATCTTATAATTGTTTTTCTCTTTAACCTAATATATCAAACAAAACAATAATACAACATTATATAGTCAGATAAAGTGTTGATAAAACTTGAGTAATAGATATGGAAAAGTACTTAATTAGGCTCAAATTAATCTAGAAATTATGATTTTGATATATCTTAAGGCAAGTTTTAAAATATCCCCAAAATTGTTTATTCTTTAAGCGTCTATGGCAGTGATAATAGCAGTAATCAAGGATTTTTACTGACAACTAATAATTTAACGAAAACAAAACTTAATTATAATTTAAAATCTTTAGGATGTACTATTGCTTAATTAGGATTTAATATACTGGCAATTGATGATCCTAACATTGATGTTCAATATAAGGTGCTTTCTTCTAGCGTAGCTACAACTATAACAGGAACACAAGATATCTTACAAATTGCTGCTTTTATTTATGGATTTTAAGGAACCGATTGGAGTAATTTAAAACTATAATATGCATTAACTAAAATTGATAGCAGAAACTATAAAATATAATTTACAAATTCTAATATTCCAACTGTTTACTTAAATATTGTTATAATTTATTAAAATTCATCTACAGATATAGATTAGTTATACTAATCTTATATGAATTTTGATACTTAAGGTAAGAATATGTGGTGGAGATAATACAGTATCATGGAAAACTTCTGCTTAAATAGA